ACAACAGAAAACGCGCAGACCATTCGGTGCCCTGAGTCTCTCCGCCGGAGGAAAATCACATGTTACAGAGTGGCAGGAGCATCAAAGGAAAAGAGCGTTGTCTCTTTCACCGATGTGCGAGAAACCAACCCATTGAGACTGACCTTTCTTTCCAATGGTGCGTGTTACCAATCTTCTAGCCTTAGAGTTGACAGGGAGCTGTGGAGTAAACACGACGGACCTGCATCATCGAGCGATTAGCCGAGAGAAAAGAACGGTAGGCAACCATGCTGAGTGGAGAGGACATCATGAAATGTGGACACCGAATGGTGGACGACAGCACCACCACAACGTCAGGTCTCGATGCACTTACCCTCGAACTATCCAATGTTGTGCATAACATGCCAAACCCCGTATGCTCCGCAACAACATGGTTCATTGATCGAGTCCGTAGGGGAGAGACACATCAAGGCCTGGGATCAATGGGCTAGAGGGGTCATGGAGGGGTAGACAATTCATTCAACTCGTCCACTTGTTCGTCTCTTGACCGCTTGTTCTTTGTGGTCGCTTAGAAAGTTAATTCGACAAAGAAGACTGGACTAAGTCTGTAGAGCTAATCCTTCTTGGACGTTGGGGAGGGAAAATGCCGGGTGCGGAGGAGGGACGCCCGTGACTCCGGACTCCGGACTCAACTTTCCCACTCTCCCTTAAATACTCTCCCGCTCACGTTTCCTTGACTTTCCTTTTCTCTCCGTTCACCTTCCGTAACTCTCTTCGTTTCGTTTTACGCTCACTTTCTCAATTCTTTGAGATCACTGTCTTCAAGGCGTGCTCGCCAAAAACCGCCAAAATTTTCGGCACACTTCTTAACTCGTGAGTCTCCCCCCCGCATTCATGCTCTCCATGCTCGAGGCCGCCTCGCGGGAGAGAACAACCATGAGACAATTCTCCTCACATTTGCGATGTGCTCGAGCTAACGGTTATGGCAGGCGTCACCACCCGTTCAACGGCCGGCGCTCATCCTCTCGTGGAGGCACATCGGCCTACGAATTACACACCCATTAAATCATTCACCAAACATCCCACTTTCGCCATCTAGTCAATTGTCTGCTCTGTGAACGCAATGGCTCCCCACGCTAATTCGGATGTTGCTGCCAATGGCGCCGTGAACGGGTCGGCTCAATCCTCCCCTTTGTTTACTGTCAATTCCCCCAACGTCGAGTACACCGACAATGAGATCAAGAGCAAGTATGCCTACCACACTACCGATATCACTCGTACCGCCGACAACAAGCTGGTTGCCACTCCCAAGGCAACCACCTACCACTTTAAGGTCGACCGCAAAGTGGGCAAGGTTGGTATGATGATGGTCGGTTGGGGTGGTAACAATGGGTCCACTGTGACGGCCGGTATGATTGCCAACCGCCGTGGCCTCCAGTGGGAGACCCGTGAGGGCATGCGTGCTTCCAACTACTACGGCTCTGTTGTCATGAGCTCGACCGTCAAGCTGGGAACGGACCCCAAGACCGGTGAGGAAATTAACATTCCCTTCCATGACATGCTGCCGATGGTCCACCCCAATGATCTCGCCATTGGCGGATGGGACATCAGCAGCATGAACATCGCCGATGCCATGGACCGGGCCCAGGTTCTCGAGCCCTCTCTCAAGCAGTTGGTCCGTAAGGAAATGGCCGAGATGAAGCCGTTGCCGAGCATCTACTATCCGGACTTCATTGCTTCCAACCAGGAGGACCGTGCCGACAACATCCTCGAGGGCTCCAAGGCTTGTTGGGCTCACGTGGAGAAGATTCAGCAGGACATCCGGTGAGTGCCAATACCCTGTGCTGTCCTTGGACCCGCGCTAACAGCAAACAGAGACTTCAAGGCTCAGCATGGTCTGGACAAGGTGATTGTCATGTGGACTGCCAACACCGAGCGGTACGCCGACATCGTGCCCGGTGTCAATGATACCGCCGATAACCTCCTCAACTCGATCAAGACTGGCCACGAGGAAGTTGCCCCGTCCACGGTCTTTGCCGTCGCTTGTATCTTGGAGAACACTCCGTTCATCAACGGTTCTCCCCAGAACACCTTCGTCCCGGGAGCTCTTGAGCTGGCTGAGAAGCACCAGGCCTTCATTGGCGGAGATGACTTCAAGTCGGGCCAGACCAAGATGAAGTCGGCTCTCGTGGACTTCCTCATCAACGCCGGCATCAAGCTTACGTCCATTGCCAGCTACAACCACCTGGGTAACAATGACGGCAAGAACCTGAGCTCGCAGAAGCAGTTCCGCTCCAAGGAGATCTCCAAGTCCAACGTGGTCGATGACATGGTTGCCGCCAACCACATCCTGTACGAGAAGGATGAGCATCCGGACCACACCGTGGTGATCAAGTACATGCCGGCCGTGGGGGACAACAAGCGTGCTCTGGATGAGTACTACGCGGAGATCTTCATGGGCGGTCACCAGACCATCAGCTTGTTCAACATCTGTGAGGACTCCTTGCTGGCTTCCCCTCTGATCATCGACTTGGTTGTGCTTGCCGAGATGATGACGCGGGTCAGCTGGAAGGCAGATGAGGCGGCCGACTACAAGGGCTTCCACAGTGTGCTCAGCGTCCTGAGCTACATGCTGAAGGCTCCGCTGACTCCCCCGGGCACTCCGGTCGTCAACGCTCTCAACAAGCAGCGCAACGCGTTGACCAACATCTTCCGTGCCTGCGTTGGCCTGCAGCCCGAATCGGATATGACTTTGGAGCACAAGCTGTTCTAGGGATCTGATGCCGCATTACCACTACACATTCTCTCACTCTAGTCACTCCTTGAATGCATACTGATTCTACCGTCGTACATGTCCATCCACTGTAGTCCGCTGTGTAGATACATGTATTCTATTCCATAGTATTCTCAATATATATATATATATATATATATATATAAAAGAATGGGAGAAAGAAAAAATCCCTCGCCTATTTCGTCTCTCCAATGCGCGAATAAGCATTGAGGGCCAACTGCCCACCCAAATGCGCATAGAGCACATTTCCCGTGATCTCCCCTTTCTTAATCAAGTCCACCATGCCTGCAAAACTCTTGCCCTCATATACTGGATCCGTAATAAACGCCTCCATCCGGGCTGCATACTCGATGGCCTCCCAGGTCCCTTTATCGGGAATGCCATACGTGCCGGCATGATAGTCCTCCTTCAAAATCACATCCTCCTCGGTAATATCCCCTTCCTGCAATCCAATCGTCAGCGCCGTATTCCTCGCAATCCGCAACACCTGCGCCTTGGTCTCCACCGGCTTCGCCGACCCATCAATGCCAATCACCCTCTTCTTCTTCTCCCCGGGATTCAACTTCTCAATCAACTTAAACCCGGCCACCATCCCCGCCATCGTGGACCCCGTCACCGCACAAACCACCACATCGTCAAACACGACCCCCATCTCCCTCTCCTGCTCCCGGACCTCAAACGCCCACCTCGCGAACCCCAGCCCCCCCAGCGGGTGATCCGACGCCCCCGCAGGAATATAATACGGCTTCTCCCCATTGCCCGCACACTCCTCCCGCAGCTTCTTCAACGTCTCCTTATGCTCAATCCCAAACCCCGCATCCTCCATCCTCACATCCGCCCCCATCAACCGACTCAACTGAATATTCCCCACCACATCATACCCCGGATCCTCCCAGTCCACCCAATGCTCCTGCACCAGCCGCGCCTTCAGCCCCAGTCGCGCCGCCACCGCCGCCACCTGCCGCGTGTGGTTGCTTTGTACGCCGCCGATGGATACCAGCGTCGTGGCGTTTTGGGCTACAGCGTCCGCGGCCAGGTACTCCAGTTTCCGGGTTTTGTTCCCTCCGTAGGCGAGGCCGGAGTTGAGGTCGTCGCGTTTAGCGTAGATGGTGGCTTTTTGGCCCAGGTCGGCGGTTATTCGGGGCAGAGGGTGGATGGGTGAGGGACCGAGGGTTAGGGGAGTTCGGGGGATGGTGGCGAAGGGGGATGGGAGGGGGATGTCGGGCATCTTGTTTTTTCTTTTGAGGTTGTTGGTAGGTTTATTGATGGAGAGGTGGGTGGTAGTAAAGTGTGTGTGTGTGTGTGTGTGTGTGTGTGTGTGTTGCGGTTGAGTTGTGTAGTGAAGCGTATAGATAGGAATATAAGTCGATGTAGAGAAGTGTGCTGTGGGCATCAACAATTTATATACATAGTCTGGGTGTAGTAGTCGTAAGGACGAGGTCATCATACAGGGATGTTGAGTATGGACTACCCCTCCTTCTCCAATTCGGAGTATACTCTCTTGTCCGAATTCTCCTCTCATCATAGTTATATTGCAGCTGGACTATCGTCTATCGTGGTAAGTCTGAGGGGGCATCAGGTTCATCCCCGCAGATGAGAGATATCGGAGGTTGTCCGTTATCTTTGGCTCCGACAGATTGGATCTTCAGCTGTGTGTGTATGTGGTGGGGGACGATAAGATAATTGATTGATTGATTGATTGATTAGATACATTACGTACGTACTTGGCTTCTTGCTTTTCATTGATTTATTTGGGGTATGGTTATTTTGCTGGAGAAGGGGCATTCGTTACTAGAGTGGATGAAGTTGTTCTTCGGAGACCTTGCCGATATCATGGCTGCCGTGGGATATATACCCGGGTTTGGATTCCTTGTCGCAGGATAACCATGGTCGCTGACATTTAGAAATGAAATGATGTGAGGAGTAAATACTGTCGATCATTATTTCAGCGTTACATATAAATGTCACTTGCTTGTTGCATTCCACTGCCCTAACCCCGACCTTGCTATATATATCAAAGTCAACATACCTGATTTTGGGTTGAGCATTGATGGCACTCCGATAAGGTTGAGAATATCCGACAAAGCACCATGCATTATAATAGACATGAAACATAGCACCGTCACAATACTTGAAGGCCGAGGATCTACAATGGCCGAAGGAACCGAGGACGACAGCGCCATATATCCATCCAGAAAGCCAAGAGCGCTACCCGATACTAAAAAGATAGTCTCGCACTCTGCCCCCTTGGACACGTAAAATACCCCTCGTGCCGTGAAGAGAATCGTATGATTCTCCCACACGCATCTCCATATCAGTATTACAAGGAAAATAGACACCATGACCAAGATCCTCCTCACCGGAGCCACCGGCTACATAGGCGGCACAGTCTTGGACGACCTGATCAAAAGCGAAGCAACAAGCATCAAAGACTTAACCTTCGACCTCCTTGTGCGAAGCGATGACGCCGCCGAGAAGCTCCAGAATGCATATGGGGATCGCGTCAAGCCAATTCGCTGGACGGGATTCACAGATCTCGCATTCGTGACCGACACAGCCGCCAACTACGACATCATCATCAACGCCGGCACGGGCTTTATCCCAGAGGGCGCAAAAGCCTTCATCCACGGGCTCGCCCGGCGAATCAAACCAGGCGCACCAGTTCCATGGTTCATACACATCTCTGGGTGCACGAATCTCGCTGACCGCCCGTTGACGGCAACCGCCTACCCAGACAGAGAATGGGACGACGCCAATGGCAACGCCATCTACGACTTTCTCAAGAGCGAGGATGCCCGTGACCCCTACCCCCAACGAACAACCGAAGTGGGCGTGCTCACCACCGCTGAAGAAACAGGCGTACAGGCCGTGAGTCTCAACGCACCGTGCATCTTCGGAACTGGTCGCGGGCTTTTCAACACTCAGGGTCTCGTCCATTTAATCGCGATGCGCTATACCCTCAAGCACGGGTATGGGTATAAGTTGAACGACACGGCTAATTTCGATTGGGTGCATGTCGAGGATCTGGCTGATTTGTTTGTGCTCATCGTCCGTGCTATTCTTGAACGGGAGGACCGTGGCGTGGGGTATATTCCCTCCGGCAAGAATGGGATCATCTTTCCTGCCGTCCAACGGGTGCTTATGACCCAGATTATGCAGGAGTGTCTAGACATTGCTTTTGAAGCGGGTGCTCTGCCTCGGGAGGATACGCCGCAGCAAAAGGAGATCCGGTTGGTGGGCCTTCAGGAAATTGCGGATGAGCTCATGGCGGGTCTTCTGGATGTAGCTGAGCGGGGTCTTGCTGGACATAAGAAGATGAAGGGGACCGTGGCCAAGAGGTTGCTCGGTTGGAATCCGACCAGGTTGGAAGAAGCTTGGAAGCAGGAGTATATAGACGCACTTGAGTTGCTGCAAAGTGGGAAGGGACTGAATACTCTAGAAACATGCGTAGGCAAGTAAGATGATGACTGTTCAAGAGTAAGGTGGTCATTTGGCAAACCGAGATTTCGGGATCGTTTATTTCGATTTTATGGACTTTGTAACTTGATTGATGTAGTACTACTCTGGATGATCTTAATTCGAGCAGTGTACGACCCCGGCGGGAGGCCTGATCGAGATAAATATAGAGGAATACATACATGAAAGCAATGTTAGCCTATAGAATCTTAGCGGGATATCGAACTCCCTTGGAGTTTTAGACTGTCCCGATTGAAAGACAGTATACTGTACAGCAGGCTAGTGTAGGTTCAGTGGCCTGCATCGCATCTGGTCCTCCGAGTTAAGTAATAGACCTATTAACCTAGGGGAAATACGAACGCCTTTCTGCTGTAGTTACTAAGCAGTTCATCCTTGGATAAAATCATCGAAACTGACCAAGCTGAACTGACACAGCCGAACTGACAACGCCGAGAAAGGATGAAGTGACAAAGGTTGACTATTAGGCAGACAAACATCTTGACTCAGAATATAAGAGAAGTGTATATGGCCTGGAAGCTGCAATCTCCATCACTTTGGACATACCTATTCGAGTCAAATATTGCTCAGCACAATGGCTAGCCTGCTAATCCCTGACGAAGCCTTAGTAAACATCAAGGACCAAATCATTCTGATTACAGGTTCGCTTTATCTTCAAGTCATGCATACTACAGAAAATCTCATAAATTAAGGCAGGCGGCTCCTCGGGCATCGGCAAAGGGACGGTTGAGCTAGGTCTTCAACTGGGAGCAAAAGTCGTCATCGGAGACCTCAACCCCCCTCCATCTGACTTGTCGAGCAATGAGAACCTGAAGTTCGTCACCGCGGACACCAGCTCCTGGGACAGTCTGCGAAACCTGTTCAATGAAGCTGTGAAAGCATTTGGTCGAATAGACCACGTTTTCGCCAACGCCGGGATTGCCCCGAGGACGAATTTTCTGGAGGAATCGCTCGATGAAAACGGCGAGCTCGCTCCCCCCGACATGAAGGTGCTCAACGTGAACCTTAATGGAGCGATATACACGGCCAGGCTGGCTGTTCACTATTTCAGGAAGTTTGCAGGAGAGCACAACGGGGTCGTCACCGGAAGTATTGTCTTCACGGCTTCCGCGTCGTCATTCCAGACCTTTGGCGCTCCTGATTATGCCACGGCCAAGCATGCTGTCCTGGGCCTTATGCGTAGCTTAGTTGCCCAACTACCCGGGAATGTTCGGGTAAACGCAATTGCACCGTCGTGGACGTCAAGTGGTCTTGTTTCTCCCGAGTTCCTTGCGTCGTTGGGTGTGGTTACGCAAGATCCGGAGGTCGTGGCGAGAAGTGTGGCGCTTCTTTTTGCTGAGTCGGAAAGGAATGGCCATCTAATTTACAGTTGGGAGGGTAAATATAAGGAGATTGACCAGGCAGAGGGAGGACTCCTCAGTGCTGTAAAACATATTCTTGGCAATCCTATTAGTGAGGATGAAGTCCTCCGGAGAATGGAGGGAAAAGCGAGCACCGGGAAATAATTAAGCATGTCATAGTTGAAATATCAGTGTGTAAAGGTTTCTTTAATAGTTAATGGATGTTTGTAAGCTGAACATTGCTTCAGGGCAGCCGACTCGGTCCAACTTAACTACTCTTCTTCTCAAGATTCTATATTCCATCCCTTATACCGCAAGACCAGGTACTGTGGAGGTCCTCGCATAACCATGAAGACCCGGTTAACTCCCCTGTAGTTATTGATCCCTTCCGTAGTTATTTGTATAGTGGATTAGTTGATCTGCCCAGCCCTGCCTATAGATAGATCAAACTCGATGTTACCCCCCGTTGATGGCGAGGTCTAGTCCTCTCCCAATGATCAGCAAAATTGTAACGCTAAGTCTAGCGCAGCTGCGTACCCAGTTTCCATATACATCGACGAATATCTTACGCGAATGTGGCATGAGTAAGGCGCTAAGAGGGTTAGATGGTTATTAGGCTGTATTGAGTACTAAGATCATATGTGGTTAATCCCACGAGTAGCCGATTAATTTATCAGCACAGTTGTTTTCTACAAGTCCACCGTGTAGGCGACAGTAGCGCCATGTAATTGCCATACACGCCACCTATTACTGTTCAGCAACCGGCTCCTTCTCACCAGCCGGAACACACCTCCTGACAGCTACAGACGAACTCAACACCTTCTTCAACGACATCGCCGCATGACCCAGCACATAAGCCCCCAAGCTCAGAAAGTTCAACCATACCAGTCCGACAACATAAACCAATAGTCGCGGCGGAATCAACTTAAACATCTCCGTCGGATCAAACCCAGCCATGTCCTCGAACTTTTTCACCTCGACCGACACGGCCGTTGTACTCTCGTCGCCATCAACCCCAGTGTTCATGAATGCATCATTGTAGATCGCGGTGGCCATGACACTCCCAAAAATGGTCATGAAAAATAACAGCACCGCTTGGTTAAGCAGGTCGTATAGCCATGTGCAGCACAGGCCAAAAAGAACAACAGCGCCCCGGCGCGACCCATAGTCTGCGGACGCAATTAACCGAGCAACAGTATCATCTTGAACAGTCGACGGATTCGAGGCAACGAGAAGACGACAGATGAGGAAGGTGAGGAGACTGCTCGACGCGACGATTTCGAGGTAGGTACTTTTACTGTTCAGTACGTTGAGAGCAGTGAAAGAGAGTGCTGTCAGTGTCCAGGCAAGTAGCAGGAGGACAGCGAGCCCAGTGTAGAGACCGCTGCCGAGCTGGAAGAGTCCCGGAGCCATGATGTTGGTTGGTACAAATTAGTGATGAAACGTTGAGAGAAATTTTCAGTGTTGGTTCTCCTGAGCTAGTTAAAATCCGATTAGCCTGCTTTATCGATACCCGCTTTATCCATCTTCCCCATCTGACCCAAAGTGAGCCAATACACTATTGCTACTTAAGGGCTGACGATGTAACAAAATACTAACAATAGTAAACCCCCATCCGGTCATCGGTTCGGCAGTTCCCGCGCAGGAACTGCTGCCTTGATGCCTTGGTACCTACATCATGTATTATGATACCAAAGTCGCTGAAGCGCCGATTACCACAAAGAGCAGGGAAGATCGAAAGAACGAAAGATCACCGAATTCTGTAGTTTTGGGTTGTCAGGCTCTCCACAACCTTGTAACATTGCAGCGCTTATTCTTCGTAGTCCTGCCCCACATGCCCTAGTAAGACTTGGGATGCTTGTTCACTCCAGTCTCAGAGTTATTCCCCAGGGTTGGCAGACGAGGCGAGAATATGCCGAATATTTATAAGTATCGCGCATAGAACGTCCTGGCGTGTGATAGACATCTAAAAGAAGCACGTCCCCTTCGAGTGCTACTATCAGTGGTGCACCGTATATCGTGCACCGACGACTGGAGTTCACACCTTCGGAACAAGGAAGTCAGCCGTTGTTGCTTATTCATAATCTGCTGCCACGCTCAATGGTATCTGCCAACCGCTACCGTCCCCAGAAGATGAATCCCTGGTCTATTTGAAGTAAGTCGTCCGCCACCTCCAAAGAACCGCCTGAATACCGCCGTCCGGCTAAAGAGCAGGTGTTAGGGAGATCCCACTCAGAAGTATACCGAGTATGAGTGAACCGTAGTCGTCTGGTCACACAGACAGGGTATAGACTTGAATAGCGTCTTTCTGTTCATCAGCACTTGTCTCATGGAGGAGAAATTCTACAACGTGAAGATGCCAATGTTGGTCGGCCAGATACTGAAGATTCCTCTGTGCGATGGTCAACATCCGCACCCTTCCGTAGCAGTATCTCGACAAAAGCTCTGTTTCCAGACGCTAATGTTCTGCCGCATTGATCTCCGTTCCCCGCTCGAGAATCAGTAGGATACTCCGTACAGACGGCCATAGTTGAGGTGCTTTTAAGGCCCCACACCCCCTCACCCCAGATCCCACGTGACGGCATCTAGTGCGGAGAAGGACTATTGATAACTATCTCCAGCCCTCTCTAGCTACTAGAGTAATCGAAGTCGTTTTAGCCACATACACCATGAGTACACGCAGTAGCCAACGGGCCACTGCTAAGGTCGATCGGAAACGTATTACGGACCGCAGAGCCCAGAGAAATCATCGAGAACGTGTCAAGACGTATATCAGTCAACTTGAGACTACTGTTGAAGAGCTTACCAAGGCATCCCAGGAAGGCTCCGGGCACAGTCTACTACAAAAGCTGCAAGAAAAGCAGTTGGAGATCGAACAACTTAAGAGGGCGATACGGCAAGCTGACGGAGTCCTGCGAACTGCCCTTGACGCGGCCTCTTCGTTCATATCACCCTCCATCGCCGAGATCGTGCCTAAAGATTCTCCAGTGATACCGAATGGCTGGCCGCTCGTAGCTATCGAGGATGAAACGACCCAAAGAATCGATAGTCACAAATTACAGATGGAACCCACATTTGCGGCAGGAGATATATCCCCCATTAGTAGCCGTGGCAGGCACGTTCATAACAACAATAAACTAAAGGACATTCCTTCACCATATGCCAATTTGGCCTGTGGGAATGGACAAGTAAATTACTTCCAGGTCGTGGATGAGTCTCTGGTTCACGTACTAAGTGGTGGCCCACTGACAACTTCCGCTGAGGACGACGATGACTTAGCCATCCGGGCCATCTTACACGGGTGGGATACTATTAAGGAAGATAAGCCACTCGACCGTGGCTGGAACTTTCTCAGCGCTCTAGACCAAGGGCTATTTCACCGCACTGGCCCTGTGGAACGCCTGGCTATCTTGCGCTTAATGCGATCCATGCTGATGGTGGGTGGACACAAGTAACTATTTGCGTATTCCTTGTAACCTTGAGTAGTCGAAGAACGGGTCCTCAGAGCACTCCACTAGCCAAATTCCGTCTTTCATGTTCCCCACGTACGTACCAGCCCTCCTCCTTTAATATGAAGCTAAGTGGTGCGTAACATTAGCACCATGCAAACTCTTGTTACTCACGCGTGTATTATCGACTTTTTTGTGTGGTAAGCATTAGAGGGTGGGAACATTCCTCAATGTTACGTACTAATCAAAGATTAGGCCAAACCTTCGTGACCACTTAATCGCCTCCGAAACATCTCATACTCCTGAAGCAGCGGCGGCGCATTATGCGGCAGAAATTCAACTGAGTTGGCCGTATCAGGTTCGAGATGCCTATAGGTACCATGAAGAGGAAGGCAAGTTCCAATTTTCGATTGAATTCAACAACGTTTATTACGACTTAAAGTCATGGCAGTTTCGTTCAAACCCTGCGCTCAAGATGCTTGTTGCGAATGGACCAATGCCGTCACTAGAAGGGCGCCTACAGGCCTCGACTAATATACTGATTGGTTCTCTGGATCCAAATGGGTTTATTGAGGCAGGGGAAGTTGCTGGATATTGATTGTAATTTAACTTTGCTAATGCATACAATGGTGGCTGTTAAAGAGGTAGCATACATCAACATGACGAATCTCTATCTATAAAAACCATAACAATTTTACATATCCTCAACTTCATGTTAAGGTGACTTTGTCAATTCCCCGCAGTATCCACCGTGGATCTGTCTGCATCTAGAGCACCTGCCAATCATCGAATGTATCATCGACAATCCTTGAGCTAGCGGTGTCAGCTATACTTTGTCAGTTTTGAGAAGTCGACTTGGCGTTGTCAGCTTCGCACTTCTATCTCCGCATTGTTAATCATTGCCTCTGATAAAAACCAAGGAGGACGGGCCATGGAGACTCCGAGGAATGGTAAAAAGTGGTGATGGAAATAACTACTTATACTTGAGCACAGAGGTTATACTTTCACACCACTTCTGATTCCACGCAAGTGACCTTAAGATAGTATACGAATAGTGTCAGCCAACATGACTGGGTTTACGCTAAAAGACCACAATGGGGAGCTAAATGGCGGCGATCTCCTCGCGCAGACGCTCAAACACCTCGGTGTCGAGGTAGCCTTTGGTCTACATGGTGGGCATCTCGATGCATTTCTCCAGGGTTGTGAAGCTTCTCAAATCCGGTTGATTGATACCCGACACGAGACCGTCGCTGTCCAGGCAGCCGAAAGCTACGCCAAATTCTCCAAAAAGATTGGCGTTTGCTTCGTCACAGCAAACAGCGGGTATGCAACCAAATCCCCGGCGGTCTTCTAACTGACGAGCGCTGACCTGATTCCAAAGCTTCTCCAATGGTATCCCAGGTCTGGCGACAGCTCTGGCTGATCGGTCACCAATTCTTTGCATAACATCCTCGCCTCCGACTCGCGATGCAGAGAATAATTCCCTTCAGGGAATAATTGACCAGGTCGTTGTCTCTCGCCCACTTACAAAGTTCGCCTATCGGATGACCAACCCCGAGGATACTCCACGGATCGTTAAGCATGCCATAGGAGTTGCGATCTCTGGTGCTCCTGGTAGGTGCTTCACCGCTATTACCCCCCAAGCCATTATATCAACTCAGATACTTACTGTCAGTAGGCCCTGTTCTGCTTGACTTCCCGATCGATGTGTTATTCACGCCTGTACATAAGCCTCTCATATCCTGGGGATCAGTTTCGTCGCCCTTCCCATATGGACCTGGTCCGCACACTGCAGCGATTGAGGGGACGGTTGAACTATTGAACGCTGCCAAAAGACCTTTGATCATCCTAGGGACAGGAGGTAATTCCAAGGAGGTAAAATGCCTTTCATGCCATTGCTGTATTTCGTGACTGACCGTGCAAACATCTACAAGGCAGCAGAAAGTCTCATGAAGCTCTCGGAAACATGTCGACTTCCAATTTTCGATTCGATGAAGTGCAAAATGTCTTTTATTCCCTCCCAATTTGCATTCAATGGAGGGGGCAGCAGCACCCTTGCCCTTCTACCGCGCCTTGGTATACAGAAGCCAGATCTCATCCTGCTCCTCGGTGCCAGGACCGGTATGTTTCTCGGCGGTCGATCTGGTGCGATTATACCCGGAAAGGACTGCAAGCTAGTCCAAGTAGACGTAGACGGTGCAGAAATTGGCAGGACACTTCCGGTTGACCTAGGAGCCATCAGTGACGTTACCCAGTTTGCCGCTGGGTTGAACCGCCATTTTGATGTCACCCCATTCCAAGGCTCCGTTGACACCAAGTGGGTGGATGATATCCTGGGTCTTAAACACCTGCCTTCGCCTTATGAACAACAACCCGAAGTCCAGCCATCAGGGCGTCTCCATCCATACCACGCACTCAAACATGTCTTACGCTCTGTTCCGAAGGAGAGCATTGTGATATTTGATGGTGGCGAAGCGCCACTTTGGGCAAGTGAAGTGATATCCATCTGCTCGCCCAGCGCGACAGTTAAATCATCAGGAGGTCTTGGATTCTTAGGCAACGGTTTTGGATATGCCCTTGGAGCAGCCGTTGCATGCCCTGATCGGAAGGTCATTAATCTGCACGGTGACGGATCTGCCGGGTTCCATTTTATGGATCTCGATACTTACAAACGACACAATCTGGATATCATGACGATTGTAGTCAATAATCATTGCTGGGGAATGAGCTCTAATGGACAGGACCTGATCTATGGTACTAAGACTCCTACACGTCCGGTCAGCCATTTGAGCCCTGTCACGGACTACAGTCTTGTGGCGAAGGCACTGGGTAATGCTAGTGCGAAGATACAGACACTCGATGATGTGTCCCCTGCGTTTACAAGTTTGCAGGGTCAAACTGGGCCCATTTGCATCGAGCTGGTCGTGGATGATAAGCCTGTTCATCCTATTACGGTCTCTATGGTCGGTCAAACTGATGAGTCCGGAATGGTAGTTGTTCCTTATTATGATAATGTTCCCAGAGCATACTATAAATCATGAGGATACTATGCTGTTTATCTTACGTTGTGGGATGTTGGTCTGCTCAGATAGTTACGACAAGGCATTATGGAAACAGTCTCCAACAGGGTTCGTTATACTAGCTTCATTCAGTTGAGATAGGGGTTCATAGTCCTTCAGTCTATAACTGTACCAAGATTGACAAGACGGTGGTAAAGCTGAGTATCTATCTATTAAGTGATTAGCAGTAATAGCCTGTCTTGCATATCATGAAAATATCCCTATGGCACTTAGATTTATGCAGCACCAGCTAACCTGACGATGTCAGGTTTGCTTTGTCAGTCCAAGCGGCAGTCTCCGCATTAGATTTGGGATTCGGTTATTCGATTGACCAAAATGACCAAAAGCATGCTTCTATCGTCGTGGATGGCCGAGGGCCGAGATATGTTTCGGGTTAGTCTAGTTGCAGTTACTTCTGTAATTCTTTTAGTCACGGCAGCCTCAGTTCGCGCATATTTCTCAGATGGATATCACGATATATAGCTCCCACAACCAGACCAATGGTTAGATTCTTGTTCTAACACAGTGTCCCCACACTAAACCAGTCAAGATGAAAGCAGCACGATTCTATGCAGCCGGAGACATCCGCATCGAGGATGTCGAAGCCCCCAAAGCATCAGATGAAAAGGCCCTAATTCAAGTCGAGTGGTGCGGGATATGTGGAAGCGATATCAACGAATATGTCCAAGGTGAGATCTAACTGGCAGCTTCACTTGTTCCACAGCGACATAGGACTAACGGCCCTCAAGGGCCTATGTCGATCCCCAACACGCGCACCGGTCCGCACCCCCTTACTGGGGACTTACTCCCGGTAACCCTTGGCCATGAGCTCTCTGGACGCATTATTCAAGCACCATCGACTTCGTCACTTTCCCCGGGACAGGCAGTCATCATCGACCCTCGATTCTATTGTTCGTCCTGCACGGCATGTACTTCATCTGTCACAAATTGTTGCCAATCCTTAGGTTTCCTAGGTCTCTCTGGGGGAGGGGGTGGTTTCTCTGAGAAAATTGCCGTGCCACCGGCTATGCTTCATCCCATTCCCGACAATATCGACATGGCTACAGCAACCCTTATCGAGCCTCTTGCCGTTGCCTGGCATGGCGTTCGATGCTCCGGTGTCAAAGACTTCAAGGGCCTACCCATTCTGGTGATAGGTGGTGGCCCAGTTGGTGTAGCCACGGTTTTCGTGTTAAGGGCATGGGGCGCAGATGAGATCTATGTCTCGGAAACGGCCCGTCGTCGTAGGGAGTTCCTTGAAGACCTTGTGCAGGCTACATTTGATCCGATCGAGGTCAATGTGGGTTTGGAATGTAGGAAACTCACGAATGGAAGCGGTGTAGGGATGGTCTTCGACTGTGCTGGATCCCAGAAAGGGCTAGAAGCCGCATGTGATAGCCTCAAGTTTCATGGTTTATATGTCAATCTGGCAGTGCCGAAATCCCCGGTATGATTGTTTTGACCTCCAGTTGCTTCGTGTTCTATGTCACTAATCTGTAACTGCAGATCTCGTTACCGGCTATGTATTTTATGCGGAAGGAACTGACGTACAAGTCCTTCTTGGCATATGATGACGCTGACTTTAAGGCTACTGTGGCTGCATTCACGGAAGGTATAGATAGAAATTATATACTACATTGAGTGAGGCTGACTATGAGATAGGCAAGTTTGCTGGGGTGGAGCGCATGGTCACACGGCGTATTGCGTTGGAAGACCTCGTGGAGAAGGGCTTCAAAACGCTTCTTCAGAGCCCAGATGAGCATATCAAAATTGTGGCAACACATGAAAGTTAACCGGGAACCTTACCATCAAAACTCAAAGTAGTGTTTGTTATAATGAATGAAGACTTTGGGGGTGGATGTAGCAGTTTCCGGTATCAGGAACAAACAGTATGTTGAAGTTTTTTTGGCAGCTTGAAGTTCAAAAGTGCAGAACCATCGAAAGCCTAGTATAGATTATCCTCAATTTATACATGTGATTCTGTCAATCATGTAACTCAGACCCCAGGCGAGGTCTGATGAAGAGGGTACAGGTCCAGTCCTTTGACACTGCCAATAATCCCATTAACCTTCCTCACTAGCATATTCAGTTCTGACTGGAGAGGGCACCAGAGTCCCTGACAACTGTGCCTGAGGATCTGTGCTGATTGCGATATACGCAATGCAATTTCAGTTGCAGAACAGGATTGGAAGGGCTCAACGGATGGCCAGAGATTTGCTTTCCCCAAAATTGCGAAATACTCTGCTATTCGACTATCACTATTGCAGTACTTGGTAATTAGGTCGCCATTCTTGCAGGGATGGCACTTGCGTGCTTCACTTGGATGAGTTCTCGCGCAATTCGGGCATACCAAGCCGTCCATTATGTAGTATTTTTGACTCTTTCTTAGCAAATCTTCCACGGCCTGCAGCTCTGCGTGTATTCCGTTCAGTAAATTCTCGATTCGATCTACCAATTCGTCTGTTACTTGTAAGATGATTTGCCCCAGATGTGCATAGAGTAAGACGTACTTTTCATATCATCAGGCAAAAGGTCCATAATCTCCAGCGTCTCCCACTTAACACAGAAACTAGATGAAAGCTGGACCTGAGCCCTCGCCGATATTTTGCGGAACTGCTCTTCAGAGCGAAAGAAATGCGCAGCAAGGAGAAGGTAGCAATATTCCTCTGCTGTCTTAATAGCTTCAAGGTCGCTAAACCATTTGAAAGTCCAAGGACAGATAGCCCTGATACAATCATATTTATTGCATTGAATGGCGAGAACTGCAAACGCCTCTGCAGTTATGGGATTGTCCTGAGTTGGGTCCTGGTAATGAAGGATTCTTAGGATGGTCCTCATTGCTGCTGTATCATCTTCATGAAGGGATATTGTCGGGCAACTAGAGGATGCCACCTGTATACCCTCAGAAAAATTGGAATCAAATAACTTTGCAAACATTGGCGAGGCCATGCTAAGAATCTTGGATGATACAAGAAACTGGGCTGTACTCCGACCTTCAACAAGAAGAATGACATTCCCGTCTGGGTCGATTTGCTCAAGGGAAAGACCCTCATCTGCGGGTTGTACTTGGCTGAGGTCTTTTTCTGACATGTTCAACTTATATGTGAATGCAGTTCGAGAGGGCTATCAGCATTCAGCATATCGTAGGAAACTTGGTGGCGGGGTCCTAACCCACGTGATTCATGCCAACTACTAGTACCTAGGTGGTAAGCTATAAGTGGGTGCCACATAAGATGCTTGGAAAGATGCATATAATAGGAACCAGTGTCAGCCTTGCCAACATTGCCTGGATAATTAAAGAGCTGTCTTTCTATACCCCAACGTATGTGCTACTCACCAAGATGGCTATAGTGCACATGGCATGTATTAGGTGCAAGCAAGCAGTTCGGGATAGGAACAGAAGGGCCGAGGCCACTACCCCGTTACCCAAGCGTAGGGGCCGCACTTGGTCCATTGACTGAGCACCGCGAAAGCGGGAGAGTATGAGCGACGCAGCAAGTATGTTAAAGCTGTAGGTGGCACGTAGTAACCGTCGTTATATGATGGAGTCATTGTCAATTGGGATAATGGAAAATGCGTGGCCTCTATTATTTTGGCTCGCAGTGCCATCCTAAATACGGAGTGTCAATGGAATTGCATGTCTCCCTTTTCCAGACTCCCCAGCAAGGTAAAGTTAGGTTCAGTTCACCACTGCCTAGTAGCAAGTCTCCCTAAGACACGGGGTTCGGATCTCCGTATCCCGTAGAGTAACCCTTTATTGAATATTAACTCATTACCATATAGTGTTTCTGACCAATCTGCCAGCATGGCCCATGGATATCTTTCTTACCCCTTGGATTTACTATGAAGCATACTTAGGGTTTGTTTATCGCCGATCTTCGGATTCTCTGGGGTAGCCTCCCACCCGTCCTCTAATCTAACTGCTTCCCGTTTAATCGACCATTTATCTTTCGGGGTTATCGTGACAGTCGACTAAGCCAGGTGACACTGCCTCCCGGCTTGGTGTCACTCCGGTATCTCCCTGTGTATAGCATAATAGCAAGGTATGTCGGAGGTACAGAGCGGCTAATGTGCAAATCGTGCATTCTTGTATAATGCCCAAGGTTGATTGCGGTTGCACATGGACCAGATACAAGCTTGCTTGTCTAGCACAGCTACTTTGGAGCTGTATAAAACTTCATACCAGGACATTTCTTTTATCACGGGAACGACTTCATGATTACTCTCTGAATCATACCTCGGACCGTTGGCGAAACTGCTGCATCTCCTTCCTCGGACCCATCCACGTGCCAATCACACAGGTCCTGCAGCAACAAACGCCCGAAAGGAGGGAAATGCCATGTCTCATTAGCCTTTTTTGAGGTAGCAGCTCATTGAAGACAATGTACCGCGCTGGTATGGACCTGAAAGACTGGGGCTATAGCGTTAATATTGAGGCCACGGCAATCACGTTGCTCCATCCTGTAGTCCTTGATCATTTGTATATAGTTAATAACACTTATTCAGTCATGGAGATGTAATTCTTCCCAGATTGTATTACCTTTACCCTAGATAGCCAATGTTTAACCTGTTCAGAGCAGGATTACTGTGTGCCTAATAATCGCACCATTTCACGGTTCATACGGGATATGCTCTCTGGAACCCAACCATGACTTGTTAGTATTATTCAATTAAAGTCTCTTCACTGCGTCTTTCCTGCAGCTGCTATGCTGCTACGCTGGTCTATATCAATTGCCTAGATCTGGTCTCGAAGCCCGATGCATAGACAATGCCAAATCGTAACCCATATATACACATACAAGCCCCCTACCGAGCCCTAACCCCAACCGGGTATCATTCATTATGGCAGCTCCGCGACCGTGGACTGTCGCTCCTTCTTATCCTTTACATACTCCCCTTCATTACCTTCCGAGCCCACCTTTGCCTTCGTATTATCTTCCCCTTGTAACTCCGAGGGGCCCTTCACAACCGCCTCAGCGGGCATCTCACTCGGTGGTCCACTCCGCGGATCAGGCGACAGCACCGGGACATCCGGATTCTCCTGCTGCCAAGGCCGCTCATACTGATGAGCGTCGACCTTCTTGGACCTTCTCCTGAGGCAGAAAAACCAAACCAACGCCCCCACAATGATCAGTCCACCGACACCCACTCCAACCCCAATACCAGCTTTTGCACCTGTTGATAAACCGTCCGAGGAGGAATCGCTTTCGTCGGGCACCGCTTCTGACGCAGGAACCTGAAAGATGGGTTGACGGACGTTGACAATCTGCTTTTCTGAAGCATTCGGTTTATTTGTGCAAGCTGAAACCATATTGTCGATGACTGAAATAGTGATTCATTGTTAGAGGTGTTTTCTTCATCCCGTGTCTCTCTCCAAATACTGGGCGGATGAATTAACTCACAGTTCCCGAGAATATAAGTCCCATTTTTACCGTGTAAACACGATTCACACTTATCGGCATACTGTTGGAACCCGGCATCGTCGCAATACGTATAAATCGGGGTGAAGTTGCTACCGCCGTACCAGTCGGTCTTGTAGACGCTTCGTAGGGGCATACATTCGTCTTGACAGCCTGATATGGAGCCGTTGCGATCGAAAAGGCAGCTCTGAACGGTGAATTTTTGAGTGGCTATTTTCCAGTTAGATTGAATATTAGATGATGCTAAAAGCCTCCCTCGGAGATGTGGACAGAGTCATGGGCGCGCTATCCGGCCACATACCTAAAAAGGTATAAATATCATTCCTCTCATCGTTGATATATGCCGTTCCGGTACTTTGACATAGTAGACAATCTCTCACGGTCTTCCCTTTCGCGGTGCTATTATAGGCTGCATCCGGACAGACGAGGTCATCGGCGGTGGTTTTACGGCTGCTTCCGCAGCTTTTAACGCATTTCGAGCTCGGGATCGTGGCTAGAGAATGTACGGGCGTAAAAAGGTAGGTGACGGCTAGAAGTCCGAGGAGGAGGAACCTCGTCGTCCGTGATGATGGACAGGTCATTCTGTATACATAGGATACGGCCCCGGGTGGTGTTGTCAGGTGAAATTTCGCGACGTTGGGCAGGAGGTGAGATTGGGATTGGGGAATTCGTAATATATGTCGATCACCCTGTGACTGTCATTCAGGATATTTAGTTTCCTACGGCAATAACAGTGGGCTCCACGACTACCGCGACCCTGCGACGACTCAGGGTTTCAGGGTTGAGATGGAGAATCTCCACCTGCACGGCTGAGGCGCAGCATAAAGTGTATGTTGACGAGGGAGCCAATCAAGCTTTAGGTCTTTGCTCGAGTCTTTCTTGGCGTTGGGGGCTCTTCTGGTGTCATTGGCTGGGTGGAATACGACGTTGATCCATACTCGAATGAGCTGATTTATTCCGATATTATCGAGCATGAGCACAGCCTTACCGGATCCTCGGTTGTTATTCTTTCTCACTGACCAGTTCTGAGCAGAGCCTCTCTGTGATTTATTTATAAGTGGCTTATGCTGCAGCACTGGTGTGTGACAGAAATGCTTTTTCATCTCGGTTTTCTGGAAGTCTGCGGATCCGTCGTCATCCGAGTATACAGCAAATCTGTCATTCTATGAGGCCACACCAGAGGAATTCGCTGTCGACCGCGGCCCGTGCAATGACAGCACGCACATTAGGCCCTGAACATGCCATGCCATTTACTAACGGCACGAAACACATGGGCTTCGCGTCCTATGTAAGGAGTATGTACAGAATCTAGGTGTCATCCGTGCACCGCGCTTCTCCACTTAAAACAACAACAGCTCGCCAATCATACGATCTCCACCTTAAGACCCCCTTACTTTCGCCCAAATATCTGGCTGCCTTTGTTTGTGGCAGAATTACACCTAGCCATGGGGAAAGGTACTGTACATAGGACTATCTTAGTTTGATCCTTGAACGTATATTATAGTGCTCGGGGGAGGAGAGACGTGCACCTAATTGAAGGAACCATAGATTAGGATTCGCTTATGCTTCACTTACCTGCAAAATACAGTAAGCTACGTGTATACAAATTCGTTTACCTAAAGTAATATACTTCCAACAAGCCGCGACTACAAGATGAAGCTCTACCTTCATCGTTTGGTCGTTAGTTGTAGGTCGTTTGCGCAATAGGAGTCACGGCACACTTCAAAACCAAGCTATCCTGACACAAGGATTTAAGAGAGAATCCTATACAGGCAACAGAATCTATTTCTCGCAGCTAAACTAAGATCTTGTCCCTATGACGAATATACGACTACAACTCATGGCCATTGTGGCGACTGTCTCAGTGGGTCTTCTGTCTCCGCACGCCTGATGAAGCTTATAATAGCTTATATGACGACAATTCATTCCATCATGAAACATGAACCTCATCGACAATGCATCAACAAACTATGCACTTGTGCGGCGCTTCGCCCTTTTAAGTCGAGGTCTTCAACAATAGTATTATGCTTTAAATCCAGATCCAGCGCTGTAGCATGGCAAATATAGAACTCCCTATTGTCGATCTTCGTCTGTGCTTTTGGATACCCACCCGGACTTGTTTCCCGAATGTAGGGCTCGATGCCTTCTCCAAAGGTCTTTTCGGTTAGCATGACATACTTTATAGTGACAGATGGCGTGTCCCGGTGGGGGGGCTTGGAGACTGGTTTCGTGCTCGCACATACGAAACAAGGGGTAATGCAACTAAGCTCAATTAAAGTAATCAAATAGTCATTAAACGATGCAGTCCATACTATGTATACCACGTCCATACATGCATCATGGCAGCTCCACCGCATTATCTCCTCTCCTGACCCCTCCATTTCCGTCATCCAATTCAGCCTTCGCCGTTTCCACAGCCGCCAGCTCCCCGGGCTGTTTGACAACAACCTGCTCAACAGGTACTCCAGCACCATACGAAACCTCCGACGCAGGCCCCTGCTCTAATGGCGGCTCATACTGGTGTGCACCTCCCTGTGCAGTCCCTCGTTTCCGCCGTGCAAGCAGTAACCAAGCGGCAGCACCTAAAATTATCAACCCACCCACGCCCACACCAACCCCAATACCCGCCTTAGCCCCTGTTGACAACCCAGACGAAGTGGCATCTCTATTACCGCCATCATTCCCTGTCGCTGTCGCCGTCGCCGATGAACTACTCGTCGCAGTATTAGTAGACGTAGCAGTCGACAAATCAAAAAGTGGCCGTCGAAGCGTAATTGTCTCCCCCGCAGACGCATTCGGTTTCGTCTCACACGCGGAATCCATATTATCCATGAAATTGCCCAGAATCACGGACCCAGACTTAGACCGGAGGCAGGTGGCGCAGTCAGCTGCGTATTGCGTGAAGACATCGCTGCAATAGTAGTAGAGCTCTTCCGTATGATTGGTTTTGTACCAGAGGTCCTTGAAGATTGACCGCAGTGGCAGACAGTGGTCTTCGCAGCCGGAGATGGAGGTTTCCGATGCACGGTCGTAGAGGCAGGTTTGGAGGGTGTATTTTTGAATGACTTTATGCTCGGTGGTTAGTTTTGCGGTCTTGGAACGTAGATGGAGTGGTGAGTTAGGTTGATCTATACGTACAGAGAAAATCCCAGGTATCGCTTGCATGATCGTTTACGTATGTCGTGCCGGTGCTTTCGCAAAGGAGGCAGTTTTTCATTGTGATCCCGTTTGCAGTGGTGTTAAACGACGAATCCTGACAGACGAGGTCAGTCGTGAGGGTATTTTTCCTATCGCCGCATTCTCCCCGACATTTTGAGGAGTCCAGGACTTCGAGCGATAGTACTGGTATGGACAAGGAGAGAACTGCTACGAGACCAACGAGGGTCCGCAGGGGCAAATAAGCCATCATGTGAAAAAGATATGGCTGAAGTTCTTGGTCCGGTCAAGACATAAGGACGGAGGGTCTGACAGCGCACGCCGATCAAGTTATAAAATCATCCAACTTTGACAGGATCCTGCACGGGGCTGTCTTCGCCTATTAAAGGGTTAGTTTGTATGGAGATCATCTTGCGGCTAACTGTATCCTCTTCATGGGCAGAAATTGGGTGCTTTTGGGGGCCGAGCAGCAGGATTGACTAGTGCTTTGGATGATCGAAAGCACCAATTGGAGCTTCGAAAGGGGAGCTCTAATTTTCCTCAGCCTGCCTTGGCGTTGGGAGGTTAATGCTCTTACGGTATAGTTGGCGCCGTTATACGAGACTTGACTAGTTTAGCTCAACACTTTGGCAATAGGTTTAATTAATTGCCTTTGCCTGGTAGCCCTGTCAGATTCTCGGCAGTTATTGGGTTATTCCCGATGGCCATGGACGGTGAAACCCCTTTGCAGCTTTTATGATTTCTGTGGTCCATCCTCCGGATTAATAGGGTAAAGACAATTGCCTAGATTTTCAGGGGCTGAGCATCTCTCTCACAATGTGTTGACCGGAGCTAGCTTAAAGCGACCCACCAAAAAACCCTGATCACTCGATCTCATTGTGCCGTCCCACCTACTTTTCTTATCGGGATAAGAACATTTGGAGCCCAGTGCAAATTGACCCTAAATAAACCTACGCGGGGTGAAGCGCACGAGTCGACAATGACATCTTCATGCCGAAATACTGCCATTTATGGTCCTCGATATGAACAGATGAGTGAAGTAGTATTGATATTCCCGCAACGGATGACGAAGCGTACGGACACATAGTGTTTATCCACAATAACTGTGACTGCTAAGGCCATGGTCGATAGGCTGAGCCCGGTCGACAACTTATACATGTCAACATTACATGTTGGAGACCTAGTATCATCCAGTCTGCAGGATTAGGTATATTATTGACTCTATGGTTGGCCTCCGCTCAGGAGGTATTGATCGAGCACATTTCCGTAAACCACTCTTAGCGAAACTAGACCGTCTCAGCGAGCATCCCGAACTGCGTTTAGCACAGGCCTATCGTTATGCTTACTTGAGCCTCCTCAATGTTGCCGGTAACGAAACTGCATGGGAAGGTTTCCGACATAATAACTGGATAATCTTTCAAGCAACAGCTAATGTTGCTGACACAATTACTACCCTAAATCCTTCGAAGATTACAGACACAGTCCCAAACATCTTCAGAATACTTAAGGTATTCACTCATACATATAGGTGATTATCGAATTACTTCCTCAACGCACCCAGGTTTCCTTGAGCATCTTAGAAAAGGCTGTACTTTGGGTGGAAGGCAATAAGGGCGTTGAACTAAGATGCGCAGTATCCAGAGTCGTCGGATGCCATGGCAAGACGTTCCCCGATATTATATGGTTTCTAAATTTCTGGAGGACCCACACCCCTCAGTTTCCAGCGCTCTCGTAGATACCATACAACACGTTGTTGCTCTGGTCAAACATCCGAAAAGAGAAGTCCACACCCAAGCTCTTTTGGCTTTTATTGAGTATCCATCCCTAATGGCGGACATCGTCGAAGATCTAGCTGCTTTGATGTACCAGATATCCATCAGCATATGGTGATCACATTGACGCGACGTCAACTACATCTACCGCACGACTTTCTGAAATTATTGGCTGCACCAATGGTAGCTAGCAAAAATCTTTATCGTTTGGAGAATATAGTATTGGTCCCAGCAAGTCAGGAAACTCTTCCAATCGAGGCCATTGAGGCTCTTGAATCCATGCGTCTTGATGGTGACGTATTATTTCGTTAAGCAGTCTTCTAGGCGTGGGCAAAGCACGTGCATTGGATCAAAGATGTTCTCATGAACAAGTTCACGTCCTCGAAGGGAAATGGTAAGCTCGCAATAATCATAGCACACTACCTTTCCGATACCGGTTCAGTTGTTCCACACATTCTTCTCCTGCACTGCGTTTCACTCGTACTCGCAGACGGCAAGGTGGTATGGGACGCAGCTCAGGCACTTTCTAAAACCCCCTACTTACCGGACGATATTCTCCAGGAGTTAATTCATTCCCTCAGTGATCCAGACAGAAGGAATAAGGGCACTGTCGCTCTGACCCTTGCTTGTCAAAATGCCCTCTCTGAATCTTTTCTAGAAGCAATATCGCAACATATTGGTGAGCTTTACAGCAGCAGGACCAATCAAGTTGTACTGGTGAGAGCCTTGGGGGGGCTTGTCCTACATTGCTACCTAAGATTCTCGCATGGATAATGTCTTTACTATATGAAAACCCCTATGATTACGTGGAGGCACTTACCAAGCAGATAAGTCTGTCTATAGACATCATGAAAGATTTAACCCCGCATCTGTCATACGACGCTAACCCCTGAAATAATAATCTAAGGATACGACATGCTATCAAAAATGTGATGAGGAACCGACAGGGCTTCTATTTCTTGCTCCAAGAGCTAGGTTCAAAGGAATGGACATACTGGCTTGGAGTTCTTCGGGAATAGTCTTTCGGGGAGAGAATCACCTGTTACATCAAAGACGGCCACCTTTGCGTTGAGACTTCCGAAGGCTCTTGAAAGGTAGATGTCAGGCATCCTGATCAACAGGAAAAGCTGCAGGAGGCAATTGAGATTCTGGATAAAATGGATGACATTCTGGGTGATGATTTTGATATGCTAGGCTTTCCCGCCGATGCTGATGAGGATCGGGTATATATAAAGGATTTGAATATGTACATTTGATAATCTTTTTATATAGGATTTTCTTTTTTTCTAATTGTATGTATCTTGGAATGGACTTGAGGTCATCATACAGTAATGTACATGACTGGTGACAGGAGTTTAACGAAGAACGGAATGGAGCAGAACCTTTTAATTCGGGGTGAAACAACACTACAACAATAGGAAGTATCAATTGGTTAATAAATTGAACTCTCGTATATCGCGTTTTATCTATTCATTCTTTTTCCTTCGTCGTAACCGAAAGACTGTCAGGTCATAGAAAGTACATTATCCTCTAACCTATCTATGACTAGTATGAAGCCTAAAGTTTTTAAAGATCTACAGGGTGTATTTCTGTCAGTCCTATCTATAATCTATGAATTTTCGTTGCACATATATCAGGCACCACCCCGATTTGCCCTTTCTTTATTCCAGTGCATCCCCATACGCGTATGTGATATTGATGGCTCATTTTTAGCTTCAAAACAATACCAAATAAGCGTGAGTTAACTACAGGAGGTGAATACTCAATATTCAAAATATATAATCGTCATAACATTCATCACCAGTCCAGCTTGGGATCACTCGTAGTCCCACAAGACTCCGGAGTTTTGACCCAATCATACACTCCACCACGCAGAAAAAAGTTCTCCTTATCGAAGTGAACACGGCGTAAAGCATCGCTTACGCCGACCTCCAGAATCGACGGAGTTGGTTCACCAGTACCCTTATTGAGGAAGCGCATGTACTCGTCCATGATCAGATAGGAGCTCTTCATGACCTTATTCGACTCGGCAATAAAACATTTATTGTGAGCGTGGGTCTTGCAGAAGCGCTCATATTCCTCGTCCGTGATAGTGAATTTCCTCGCATCCCGCAGCGTGTCGCTGGAATCATTCTCGTCCTCCACGATCAACACCTGGAAACACTTCCACCGAAACGGGTTGACCTTGGCGATCGACGCGTTCATATCTTCATCGAAGTTGAATCGATTCACCACCGTATTCAACTTGAATTTGATCCCATGCTGCACACACAGTTCTGATATCCGGGCGATGTTGTCCAGATGGGCCCCGGTGCCCCGGCCGATCTTGACGTTGGTTTCCTCCCGGAACGAGTCGCATGACACGGCGATGATATCGATGTACTTGCCGTATGTGGAGAGAAAGCTTTGCGTCAGTCGACTCCCGTTCGTCACAATCGAGACCGACTCGATCTGTAGTTCCTCTTTGCAGAACTTAATCATCGATCCGAGATGCTTGGGGTAGAGCAGCGGCTCCCCGCCGGCGAAGTTTATCTTCCTCATCCCGGCATTCTTCAACAGTGTGAGTCCCTTCTTTGCGGATTCTAGTGGCTCCAGGTAGGAGGTTTTCGCAGTGTGAAAGCAGAAACCACATTCATAATTGCATCGGCGCGTAAAATGATAATTAACTGAGAGGGGGGTTTTTTGTCGCCTTTGTATGAACCACCGCACTCCGGCGCAAAGAACAAGTAATCCTGCGATAATGAATGAGATAATCATTGCGATATGGCCTTTGCTTTTTTGTTTTTGTTTTAATTGTGTAAAATAGGGGCATGAACAGAGGGGTCGCATATTTTATACCATGGAGACGCCGCTCAAATCGGGCAGCTATCGGGGAAAGATCCATGGATCGGTATTCAGCTGTAGTGGGGTACAGTGGCCGATCTACATCCCACTGGCCAATTGTTGCCAACAAATATGATATACTACGTTGCACAGACCTACAGTTTCAGCTCGGTTATACAATAAATGTGGCTCAGTCCATACTAATGGGTTCGACCAGGTGGCAGAATATCTGTATATGGAACAGTCATGATGGAGTATTTAATTTAAGTAGTAGTCCGTATTCAATGCCTTCCCCGTCTGAACCCACTTCAAGTTTTTCAATCATATTTGTTAACGAGGGGAAAACAAAAACAAAGAAGGAAATTCATCATGCCTGCCATAGCCTATTCTTCTGAAAGGCCCAAAATTATATTCATTCTAGGTAACGTTGGTTTATGTTTGCCTCAAAGTTCGTGTTCAGTGAATGCTAACTATACACAACCTTGTTAAAGGTGGTCCTGGAGTAGGGAAAGGAACACAATGCACGAGACTCGCGACCGATTTCGATGTTGTTCACCTTTCCGTTGGCGATCTCCTTCGAAACCAAGAGAGCCCCGAGCTTGCATCGTTGATTAAAAACACCATGACCGCAGGGGGAATCGTACCACTCGAGATAGTAATGGCGGCAATACAGGACGCAGTGGACGGGCACGTGCGAAATGGCCAGAATGTGTTCCTGATGGATGGTTTTCCTCGTAACCTGGAGCAACTTGCAGCTTTCCAGGAGCAGGTAACTGCCCATCCCTCTCAGAACCCGAGGTTGGGATATCTGACCAAGTCATAGTTCGGCGACTGTTGCACGACACTTTTCTTTCAAGGCCCTGAAGATGTCCTGCTGAGACGGGTTCTCAATAGACACAAAACATCCGGAAGAGTCGACGATAATGAGATTACGTTCCGTAAGAGGATACAAGGATACTATGATCAAACCATGCCTGTGATTGACAAGTTGAGAGAACAAGGGCAGGTCATCGAGGTCAGTACCAGCGATGGTTGATGGTATTTGCTCTACTAAGGATTTATAGATCGATTGCACCGGTGACTTGGACGAAGGATATGACACAGTAAAGCAGGCTTTTATAGAAGCCGTCTCCCGTTGAATTTTGAACTGATGGTCGCGTGACTGTCTTTTCTGCGAGGCCATCCATGATAGTGAAATTGCCGCGGCCTACTGCCGGACGGCAGATCGCCCACGCCGGGCCATCATCCGAGTCCATGATTCATATGCTGCGATAATTGCGTCATAGTCTCATGGATTTCTCTTTGTTTGCTTGTTTTATACAGCTTTAGTCGCCTAATCAGTTCAGCGTGTTGTCTTAGAGAAGGGATCCAGTATCTTAGAATTATACCACTTACGTTTGCATGTCAAACTGGATTACCGAACTTTTCAAAGTAAGCCGTAAGCTTTCCCTTAGGCCGGCTGTTGTCAAAGAACCAGGAGTATTTCTTCATAAAGACATCGATGTCTCGATGCGCTTCTTGGGCGTTTTCATGGGCAAGTTCAATTTCCCCCACGGCATGGCCGAAATCCGTACTATCCAGCATGACTGAAAATTTGTCATCCGCCAGAAATGACTCTCTTGTCGTAGTAAACTGACAGATGACGTCCAGTCCCAGATTATCCCCCTTTTTCTCTAAGGTATCCGGTAGAAATTGGCCCACAATCTTCTGGATTCGACTGTAGTCATTGATTTCCTCGAATGCGGTTCGAGTGTAACTCCCTTCAACTCGGCGCTTTAATTCCCAGTCTCCCTCGCGTTTCCGAATCCATATTCCATTATTGGAAAAGATGTTTCCACGATCAAAATACGCATCAGAGAAGCGTTGAGTTCCTCGGCTTGCTAGACTCAGGAATGCAGGGCTGCCCTTGTTGAGTCGAAAAACATTGCGAAGAAGAGGGTTGAAGCTGAACTTCTGCTCAACCTCAAGAAGAACCATCGTATCCCTCCTGTGGAAGTTTTTATGGATTTTTATACCAGATGCATATAGATGAAGAAATAGCTCTAAGATCTTTTGTTTTGGCTTAAGCACGCGTTGAGGGTTGGGGGGCGGGTGGGTTAACCCTTTTCAAGGTTAGGGGCCTTGCGGCCTCCTTAAACTGCTAATGTAATCAGACGCGCGGCTGTTGACCGCCACCACCACAAGGACTGTTCAGTAGTTCGAAAATTTGCTGTAACGACGGCGCAGATGCGCAGCGCTTTTCGCAACTGCACAATTCAAAGGATATATCACTGGGCCTCGATGATTATCATAATTATAGCATATTCAAAATTGGTAACTACTGTACTATAGTACTAACACCGAAAAGGTCGAGCTTTTATTCTCACTTTAGTTACTGGGCGGAAGGACTAATTTTACTCGATATAGTACCTATAGCAGGTACTAGTAGTCTTGCGATACTTACTCTTAGTATAACCCTATATTTATCTCCAGCATCTATAACAAGCAATACGAAGGAAAAGCAGAGACCCATGCCTAACTATCCTAAACTGATATGTTCTCAAAATGGTATAGAACATCGAGCTCCAAAATGTCATCGGCTGCTAGCCCGATACTAAACTCAGTTGACAACTTACATGAGCCGGGTAGTCATCGACAGCCTTTGTTCCAAGATGAAAGCTGTCACCTCAATGAGATACACGCGCATAAATGACTTGTGCCTCTAAAATCGTGGAATAAGGGAGGGTATAGCGTCGTTGCGCCATGGTATCTACCGTTTGCAAGAATAACGATGATCTCCGTGTCTTGGTTCTTGATATATTTTGCAGAAAGGATCGTAAAGACATAGTCAAGTCCTTCCAGTGTGAGTCCCTTTGTTTGCGGGACCCATAGGCCTATCATAGGGAACGGTATAAGATTGAGCGCGCAGTAGAAGCTAAACGCACTCGTAGGGGTAGATGTAATATGTATCTACGGAAATGATGGTGACAGAGAATAGCATAACCAAAGATGTTGATAAAGACAGACTCTTTCATAAAGATCATTCAAATCCGATGTTGAGATGAAGTCATACAAAGACATCCACACTCTTCTTATAGAACAAGGGGAGAACTAAATTAGTTCTCGGGTTCGGGTTCGGGTTCGTACTCGAAGTCTCCGGCACCACAGCGACAGCGAAGAAATGAGCTTCAAGGGCCACCTGGACCCACATCATCCTCATTCTATAAAAACTAAATGAAATCCCAGTATTCGAAGCATTGCTTTCCTATTCAATTTATATACCAGCAAGAACTCCTCCTCGAAGCACAAAGTGAATCAGAATCATGTCCACCAAAAGCATTGCCATTATTGGATGTGGAGGTATGGGCCTGGCCATCGCTCGACGCCTTGGTGTTGGTAGACGACTATTTGTGGCCGACTTCTCGGATGAAATTCTCTCTGCGGCCCAGGAAACATTAACAGACGAGGGTTACATGGTTGAAATATCTCAGGTGGATGTGTCTGATTATGAGTCTGTCCGTCGCTTTGCACATGCCGCTGCATCGCATGGGCCCATCGAAGCAGTTATCCATACGGCCGGCTTGTCCCCATCCACAGGCTGTGCACAGAAGATCCTTGAAGTAGATCTTCTCGGTACTGCCAACGCTCTTGATGCTTTCTTAGAGGTGGCGCAGTCCGGAACGAGCATGGTCTGCATCGCGAGTATGGCTGGTCATATGGGCTCAGGTTTGCCATCAGAGCTAGAACGTCATCTCGCGACAGCGCCTAGGGATCGGTTGTTAGAGCATGACGCTCTGAAGATTGACGCGGCCGATCCTCATGGCCCTGCACGGGCCTATGGTCTGTCCAAGCGTGGGAATTTACTACGCGTCCAAGCTTCAGCTAAAGCATGGGGTCGCGTTGGTGCGAGAGTCAATTCCGTTTCTCCCGGCGTCATCTCTACAAGCGCCGGGCGCCAGGAGATCGATGGCCCAGCTGGAAAGTTCATAGCTCTGAGTCCTGTTGCTCGCGTTGGAACACCGCAGGACATTGTGAATGCTGTCTCATTCTTGGCTAATGCAGAATCATCTTTCATCACAGGCAATGACATCCTCGTGGACGGTGGGGTCGTGTCGTCGGTAAAATGGGATACCATGAAAGCCTGAACATCAACTACTATCAGCGACAGAAATTTGACAGTGGATGTCTTTAATTCTCTCTATGCTGGGTTCAGTCGCGTCATACATCAATATAGGGTTTTCAGTATAATAAATAAGCATCATTGAATTGAAAGTTTTGTCTAACCCGGGCGTCTAACTAGCTTCAATAGCCGCCGCCCCGGGGGGCCTTAAAGCCTCATACATATCTCATGACAAATATTTGTAGATCGTAGAATTCGGCTGGTAAAGCATGGGATTCCCTCTGGCCCAGAGCGACACTCGGTGACTTCCGCCTCCAATACGGATTTGAGCTGTTTGTCCAACGGTCACCGTTTCCCCGCAACAGTTAAGGCATAAATAAGAAGGCAGAGCTTCTCTGGCACCGCTAACCCCGAGACACGAGCATGTATGAGGTACAAACGGGCTCAAATAAAGATACAAAAGTATAGGGCACACATAAAAGAATAATTCATTGTAGTTCTAGACTACACTACTAGTCATGCTTATCACGTTATCCTGAAATATAATCCCTAGCTATATATCTTCCTGCTAGATCGTGATGATATTATAGCTTCTTACGCTACATCTTATCTATCTGTCCGAATATAACTTAGCTTATACATAGCCTGCCTGTGTGAACCCGGACCCTGATAGTTCCTATTATATCCTGTTCAAGACACTGGGGGAAAAATGAGTAGTGGATCGTTCTAGTGATAGGGTCAGCATGGGCTTAAAAACAAGGAATGAAGAAAAAACTTACTTAGCTTGGACTTGTTCTGGTCTCATGGGTATGGTTTGCCCTAATACCCGAGATGTTCTCTTCTTCTTCCACTCCCTTGCGGCCTCTTCCCTGCCAAGCTCAATCACAGAGATAGACGTCTGCGGTTCAGTTGCCATAATTACCCTGAAGACATATAGTCTTCGGTTATCCAAGTTAACCCATTGCTCTGGCTCCCGTTCACCTTCCTTGCGTTCGTAAGGCTCAGATTCGAAACCTAGTGCTTCCCTGCACACAGTGGGCGTTTTCATGTCACTTATCGGCACCCTGATAACGCGTATATGTGGTTGCCATGCGCGTATTACCTCCACTTTCTCACGACGAGGACGAGGAGACAGCCTCATAATTGCCTCATCGACTGACATCCCGTTCGAGAAGTTACTGGTTATGGTACTTTGCGAGCAATATATATTACGTAGAGCGAATTCTCAGGGAGTACCTGCTTGTTGGTACTGCCCGACTCTTAAGGTCTGCCATTTTTTCTTCTTGTTTCTGTGCAGGAATGCTTAAGAAAATATGAGTTAGGAGATAGCGACTGGAAATGGAAAATATTCTAACCTATCTCTCTGTGCTTTTGGAAATGTTCTGTTTCTCCTTATATACCTTTTTCTTTTGTACTCGGTACTCTTCCATTTTCCAATTATGGCTTGGTTAGAACATGGCATGTTTGTCCAGGCAATTATTTGGCTGACAACCAGAAACACAGATCCACTATGGTGACATGATACTTATCAAGCCTAAAGAAGTTGACCAGTATCTTGGATTCACTCCTAGTCTCCTTAAGAAAAATGCTGGGGAAGACCATTTCCCATACTATCTGAGCTTGAGAGATCAACCAACGTTTCTTTGGTTTCAAACACAGGGAGAGCCCAAGAATAAGGGCCTCAATAAGGACGAAGACGAGGTGGAGATAGGGATGGTTGATTCTTGGGCAGGCAAGAGTAAGGGTCTCCTGAGCGAGGCAGGCGACAAACTCGTTAGCATTGATCACTATGAGAGCGGGAAGTCGAAGTCTTTTGAGTTTCAAATTTTGGTACAATACAACCAGCGTGACCCACTAGTCACTCTAGTACACAAGGTTACTGGCATGTTATAGAATCCTACGAGCGTGGGACTCCTGTTGCGCCCTGATTGGTGGGTGGGCTTAGGATTTCATATTTATACATTAGTAGTAGAAATGGGAAATCTTCACACCAAACGGATTAAAAATAAATAATAAAAGGTATCGAAGGAAGCGGTTTCCAATCATCAGGTTAAACAGTCTCAACAAGATAACTGTCTATAAGCATGCCAATCCTGCTACCTTACCCAACTTTCATATAAATCAATCACATCACACGAACCTATAATAATATTTGGCTTAATATCATTTCTACAGCAATCAACCTTGATTTATTATTCCTTTCCACTTTAGATCTAACTTGGCGCCGCTTTTGCTCACTGAGCGGGGTCATAGAATACTAGTACATGAACTGGTCAAGATCCTATACTTCCGCAGCTCATCGCCATACCCAGTTATTTACTCTCCTCAAAGGGTAGGTCAATCTAAGCCACAAATGGTTGTCTTCGAGTCGTCCGTCGAATTCGGGCTCCCCGGGGGAGATCGCCCCAGAAAGAGATATGCAGAAAGTGACTCGTGTCTTCGAGAAGGCAGGGATTCAGTGCTGCATGACAGGGGCTTGCGCATTGGTCTGGTTCAATGCCGGGCGCGTTCGATGGTAGGGAGTTTTACTATTCTTACCAGGGGACATCCTACCAAATCATAAACTGGGTCTAGGACTGGGAGATATGCGTAACCACAGAAAACTGGATCAAGCAGCCCAAATACTTTGAATTTGCTGTTAGGTGTCATCTATATAGTGGATTTTGTATAGGAATACATGATTATAAGACTCCATGGCAAGGCAAGGTGTATCGGACCTGGGAGCCAGAACTTGTTCAACCCGGGAGCCTAGTCCATACCTTTCCATGATTTAGAGTGTGCGGTGTCGCTCTTCGATTCCAAATCCATCCATTTATTGATGCTTATTTTAATATCTATGATGTGGGTTGAAGTCCGTCTGGTCTTCCCTATCCGAAATTTGAATCATTTGCGCAAAGTCTCTTAGGCACGCAACGACGATCAGATCTCTCTGACCTGATTGATAGGATGGACCTTACTGAAGAATGGGGAGAAGATCATCTAGGCCTTGATGAAGACAACAGATGTTGCCTATGCAAAGCGGAAGAACGAGAAGTTAGCAGCATCTGCGGGCCCTGCTGAGGATCCTTCGAATCATTGGGATATCACGAGCACCCACATCCTCATAGGGAAATATGGCAAGAAATTGTCAGGGGAAAGCAAAAACGAATCGGTCCCAGCCCCAGGACCTTTCCTCTCGTTTTTAGTGTGCTTGTCGATACATCGCCTCTGCTTCCCTATACTTCCCCTGCGCATAGAGGGCTAATCCGAGGTTGCTGACACTTAACACTGTGTCTCGATGTTCTGGCCCCGGTATCCTCTCTCTCCTGTCTACTGGTTGTCTATATTTCCCCTGCCTCTCACACAAGATGCCCGGGTAGTTGGCGTTAGCCCATGTGTCTGGGTGATCTGATCCAAGTACCCGCTTTCTCACATCCAAGGCTATTCGACATAATTCTGCCACCTCAATCCACCGGCCTGATCTTCGATAGGTCTGACTAAATATGTCACATATCTTAGGTCTACTATTTCCATCAGTGAGTTGGTCCGAAATCGGAACCTGTGGTATGTGGACAATCATATGCCTTTGAAACCGCGACCACCCAGAGTCCTACAAAAGCTCATGACACGCTGCCGGCAAAAGTTCCATATGCCATGTGCTCATGGTCCCTGGGGATAATCTTTATATGACCCCCCGACGCTCTTCAAAAATTATGCTTTAGTGTCCTTGCCGAGATCCAAATTGGTTCAGTCTGTAATGGTCTGTGGCAAGACCTCTCTTGTGCACTTGACCGGGATTACCAGCAAAAGTAGCAGATTATTCATGGACACACTGAGTGTTGTTAGATTTAGCATAGAAGATCGGTTAAGTCCCTTACACATTCTTTTCATTGAAAGCACCATACTGGTTTATACAGACATATTTGCAACGGATAGCTACTCCTCTGATATTTGGGTTTGCCAACCTATCACTTGTGCTATCTTGGATGCAAGTCATCCAATCTGTAACTACTGACATGATTGGACTCGGGGCTGTGGGTGAGTCTGGGGCTCGAATCATGGCCCTGGTGTTCTGGATCTTCTCTATCATCGTCTCGGTTCTTTCAGGCTTGGTGTGGACTTTCCTGTTGGTGATTCCAATTGCTGTGCTGACTTGGCAGGTTTCCTGGGGGTTCAAGAACAGGAAGCAAATTACTGGTTTTACTGAGGCATAAATAGTTACCTAGTTGGTTAAATCTAGTCACTTTACTCGATGACCAAGTCACCTGATGTAGAACCATGCTTTAGATATGATGCAGCGCGTATCAAGTCTATCATATGGAAGATAAATAAGTAAAGAAAGATGAATAAAGCGTTCCATACTATAATATCTCCAGAATAAAGGCTGTATTTTCCGTTGAATGTCCGCGCTGCGCTCTTAAACTTCGGAGGCCGGAGTTATGTATATATTTTCCCATCTATTCTATGCAAAGCAACTGACTGTTTATATATCGACATAGCTTGGTTTTTGATCAGTAGTTTATCATTTCCTTTTTTTTATTTTGTATGTACAATGGATCATTAGTAAGTGAGAATGTGACTTAGTTCAATAGATCCATTTTTTTTTGAAGCTTTCCTTCACCGTTCTACATTGTCCCTTCGACCGACCGGCGTCAACGGTCAATCGTCAGACAGAGAGTGCGTCGATATTGTCCTAAGGATATTCCCTAGTCTCAGGCGTCAGGGGCCATGTCCCATCAGGTGAAGGCTTGGATTGAAATGAGACAACGGCTAGTATTAGCCACATTGCAATCTAGTTATCTATTGAACTCTATCGGAATTCTATTTCCATAATATGAAACCGATATGCAATACGCGGTCAATTGCCCTGTACCAGTAATATTATCCGGCTATGGTAGTAGTTGTCGAAAACTGCACGGTCCTATGCAGCATACTAGCTCATGAGGTCAGAGCAACCCCGCCTGGGGACCTTGAGGGCCTACACCGACAGGTCCGTATATAAATATTATGTCCGGACCCCCCGAGTGACACGTTACTGGACTCTTCTCTTGGTTGTGTTGCAATTGCTCTATCATTCTTGGCTTACTATAGCTTTCAATCATACATAATTCATCCCATTGATATCATCAAGCAAGCATACAGGTCAAACACTTTTCATTATAATTTATTGCCGGCAGTCCACCACGCAGCGGACACAGTCACCGTGGTGCATCTGCTCGAAGGCAGTGTTGATGTTGTCCAGAGTCTCACGGTGGGTGATGAACTCATCAACCTTGAGCTGGCCGCTCAGGTAGTCATCAACCAGGCCGGGCAATTGGGTACGGCCCTTGATCCCACCGAAGGCGCAACCCTTCCATACACGACCGGTGACGAGTTGGAATGCTGGTTCCCGTGAGTACAAGGAAATAGATAATGCGAAGGAGAAATGGGAAACTTACGTCTGGTAGAGATCTCCTGTCCAGCAGCAGCAACACCAATGACGATACTCTCACCCCAACCCTTGTGGCAAGCCTCCAGGGCAGCACGCATGACGCCGACGTTACCGGTGCAGTCGAAAGTGTAATCACACCCACCGTCGGTCATCTCAATCAGCTTCTCCTGAATAGTCTTGCCCTCGAGCTTGGTGGGGTTGACGAAGTCGGTGGCGCCGAACTTGCGGGCCCAGGCCTCCTTGCCGTCGTTGACGTCCACGGCGATGATCTTGCCAGCCTTGTTCTTGACGGCACCCTGGATGACGGAGAGACCGACACAGCCGGCACCGAAGATGGCAACGTTCGAGCCCTCCTCGACCTTGGCGGTGACGACGGCGGCACCGTAACCGGTGGTGATACCGCAGCCGAGCAGGCAGGAGCGGTCGGTGGGGATCTTGGGAGTCACGGCGACGACAGAGATGTCGGCGACAACGGTGTACTGAGAGAAAGTGGAGGTACCCATAAAGTGGAGGAGGTCCTTGCCGCGGGCCTTGAAACGGGAGGTACCGTCGGGCATCACACCCTTACCCTGGGTGGCACGGATCTTGCCACACAGGTTGGTCTTGCCGGACTTGCAGAACTTGCACTCACGGCATTCGGGGGTGCTGATGGAGGTTAGCGGTGCTCTACACAGGGCCCTCAGGTGGGAGCGTACTAAAGCGCAATGACATAGTCGCCGGGCTTCACGGAGGTGACGCCCTCGCCGACAGACTCGACAATACCGGCACCCTCGTGACCGAGGACGACGGGGAAAGCACCTTCGGGGTCCTTTCCGGAGAGAGTGTAGGCGTCTACGATTGTCAGTTTCCCCTGGGGCAGCGAGGGAACGGGAGCGACGAACCAGTGTGGCAGACACCAGTGTGGTGAACTTGAATGCGGACTTCGTGAGCCTTGGGGGGAGCGACCTCGATGTCCTCAATGGAGAGGGGCTTGCCGGCCTCCCAGGCAACGGCGGCCTATACGATGTTTAGTCGGCCTGCGACGGAATACAATTCGCGTCATAAAGTCGGGTATTTTACCTTGCAGGTGATGGTCTAGAGAAGTTAGCTAAGCTCGGCGAATAACAGTAGAGGGAAAGTGGGATGGTGGGGTTAGTAAGTACCTTTCCAACAGTGTCAGCCATGCTGAGGGTATCTAAAGGGGATGCGAGGACTGAACGGAGGAAGAGAAATTGATGAATTCAAACAGAGATGATGATGAAGGAAAGGAAAGAATAAATGGATGGAGGGAAGAACGAACCAGAAGGTGAAGAAATGGGTAGGGAATGAGTTGCTTAAAACGGGAGCGTGCCCATGGTGGGGTTATTTTTTTGGCGATGAGGGGAGAGGGGGTGGGGGAAATGTTGGACCATGAGGGGAGAACATTCGTTGGAGCGATCTTACATCTCAACTCCTCTAGATATCGAAAACATTGGTTTCACGAATTGCTTCTTCTTCGTCGTCCTTTTTTTTTTTTTTTTTTTTTTTAACAATCCCCTCATCCTCTCCGCATGGTGTTGGGGGAGTGGGCTCATGATGCAATCGTTCTTCACGCCCAGCACGGGTATTTTATCTGGGACTCAACCAACATGTTCCTGCGACGATAAAAAGAACCCCAATGATAGTCGAGGGCCCCTGATGCTTATCAGGATGACCTGCATACGGCGACCTTAAAGCGATGGGCATTCCCATCTAGGTATACTATTTACTCCAAGATCTGAAGCGGTAGATCTGAAAGGGAGGAAGAAGTGAGAGCACGGGGTCCCAATCGGGTAATGTTTTCCACGTGGTCCGTGCTTTTAATCTGATGAATTTATTCAAAGGAGTTTCTCTCTGCCGCTGACAGGAGAACGTCGGCTGAGGAGACGTTCCGCTCGGAAAAAGAATGGGGACTGGGCGGAAAAGTACGGCTCTGAATGGTTCATCCCTGCGGTGGATCAACCGACTGCACTCCCCCAAAAAGGGTGATGGTTTCCATTAGCCGACCTGCTGTCCTTGTCCTACCCGGATTCCTCGCAACATCGTTCCTCCGCTCCCATCACCAATATCTTGTCGGAGTAACTACGGAGTAAAGAGTTGAGAACAAGGTGTATTATGGTGAATTGCCTGGATTCAATTGAGCATGGCTGGTTTACTTGGATTTTTACCCTTTCCCTTTTTTTTTTTTGTTCCAATTTGCAGGTACCATTCACTTAGTTGCTAGTTTCGTGTCTACAGCAAATCGTTGGCATGAAAACAACACCTGATGGTTTCAATTAAATCCCTTAACATACCCATCAAGGGTCCATTGCACGTCCATAATCACTATATTGTACAGTACATTTCCCAGGGCACAAGCTGAACAGCAACATGGATAGATGCTCATCGAGTACTCGGGACTCAACAAAGCGGAAGCCCTCCGGATCCAGATCATAGCCGGATCCCAGACCAAATGCAATCAATGGGGATCATTCGAAAAAGTCTAGTTTGTACACGAACCGCCGAACCCAGAAGAACAAGCAGATCATTCAATCAATCCATTACCGCCCGGGCATCTGACCACTCTGCATCATGGCGGCGTTCTGCTCCTGGAAGCGTTCGTTCAAGCGTTGAGAGCCCTTCAGGAACTTGTCCACGCAGCGGAGGGTGCAGCCCTCCTCGCGGGAGATCAGGGACTTGGTGGTGAAGTCGTTGACACAGTCATCGAAGCAGCGCTGGACGAGCTTGGAGTACATCTAAATCAAAAAAAAAAAAAAGGATTTCAGTTAGATGATGTTGGGACATGGAGGCGTCGGGAGGGATAAAATGTCGAGTGTTTTCCGAATCAAGCATAGGTTCGAAGTGGAATTGAGACCGGGTATCACATACGGTCATGAACTCCTTCAGCTGCTTCCTCTCCATGCGAGCGGCGAACTCGCGCTGTTCCGAGGCATTGAGTCTAGCAATAGTAAGTTAGCATCAGCCAGCAGTTGGTGGTCCGCCCCGGAGACAGAAAACACAAAACGAGAATATCCAGACGCCAGGGAAACCAAGCATAAACTTACCCTTCCATTATGATATTAGATATGTATGGTTTGAATAAACACAGGTGATGGAGAATCTGATGGCGTGATAAGAAATAACAATCTTCTTTTATTCTTCTGAGCGGTCGAAGCTTCGGAGCTCTGAACAGACCGCAGGCTCTGGTCTCACATGACCTCATGTGACGTCCGCTGCACCTGACCTTAGGATCTCGTGACAGTCATGTGATGGATTATATAAGTCAGTGTTGGCTGAGTCATCCAACCTCGGAGCACAGAAACGTGACGACGTCGACCAACCCAATTCGGCAATGGTACTGTCAATCACCAAAGTAAAAAAAGAACAGACTACCCACAGGGGACCAGAACACGGTCTCCAGGTGCGGTGGCATGAAGGGAACCACGGTTGGCTGATGGTCAACACTCATTACTCGGGCAATCAACTGACAGGGAGAGCCTGGAGAGGCTCTCTCCAACAGAGGATCGGCAGTGGGCAAAATACCGGCACCACGGACACCAGGGGCGTTGAACGCCCTTCTTCTGCCTTCATTGGTCATGGCGTTGTCACGGATTCTGATCATCCCTGACTCGTCAGAGAACAGAGAGAGGGGGTGGTTCGTCTTCTTCCCTTTTGTTTCGGGTTGGCATTTCGGATGACACGAGAAAGATGATGATTGCTGTTGGCAAATTAACCATGGACGCTGATGGTGCGGCAGTTATTTTGGACACAACGTTGCATTTTCTTCAGATCCATTCTTAATATAGATCGACCGTCATTGTCAGCCGAATCGTAGTCGTCTACAGTTTCACATGGTCATCATTTGGTCTTTTATACTGTTTGTGTTGAATGCTTTCCCATTCTTTCTTGCCAGGCAAAGGTGTATAAGACGATGTATGTATAGTTTCGTCTCTGGCTTCCTCACGGGACCGTCGCTTACCCTGACTAGTCCTATTAAACTCGACCTGTTCCGTTAGGGAATCCTTTAGTTTCAGATAATCCCACGCTATAGTGAACCCTTGTTGGGTCCAGAAGGGACTCTGGATCCTTGGGTCTGGGTCATCCTCTCTAAAAACGAGTGATTGACATGAAATTTTGGTCTGACTGGTTCCTGGTCTGCCTGACGGATGGATTAAATTCTCATCTCCTCAAGAGGCCGTGAGCCTACCAGAGACCGACTTCTGAAGCACCACCGCTTTTCTGTTCCTTTTCCTTTTCTTTTTCTTCCCCCTTCCCCTTGTGATTCTGGGGCCTGCGGTTCTTAGCGTTCGAGCTATTGATTTTTTCTGATACACTTCCCTACACACTTGCCCCGGTTGAACACTGTCGATTAGATTCGTGCCAATATGTTGTACCCCATACCAATAACCACCACCGCATACTAACCCCAAAACCGAGTTTGGGATTATTATTAGTAGTAGAAGAATTCTATTATATTATTCGATTGAACCCACCAACAGAGGCAAAGAGTTCTAGTCTCCCTTTTTCCCCAAAGTTGTGTGTGTTCTCCGATCGATCATCCATCAAATTACCGTTTTCCCTTCTTTGCCCCCCCCCCATTCATTCATTGAAAGTCCATTCAAGTCATCTCCCCATCTTTCTTTCTTCATCCCCTCTCCCTCTCCCTCTCCCTCTCCCTCTCTCTCTCTCTCTCCCTCCCTCCCTCACTCTCTCATTCTTGTCTCCTTTGCACAACCTCCCTCTCTTACCTGGCCACCCCCCTTTGTATCTGGGTTCCCCTTTTATGTTTTTTATATCCTTCTACTTTCCACATTTCATGATCTCGCGTGTCGCCTATTTAGAATTATCTTTCCGACTCATTCGGTCGTGCACGATTTCCCAATCCTCGTGGCCCACCGTGCCTACTTGCGGACGGCGCGGCACTTGACCACCCGCTGCCACGCTGACTAGTTCCTCGTGCTATTTTGGGGACCGTTAAATTTCCCCTCCCAGCCCCAGAATTTCTTTGCGCAAACACGAAGGGCGGTGACGGATCCCTCGGTTCATCGGTCTGGACCATATAATTCTGTCGCATTGTGCTAGCCTCCCCTTTCCATCGCACAGCGTCCCATGATGGTCACGGGCAAATCTCAAGGCGCCGAGGCGTTTCAATCGCTGCCTCCCACCACCACCCAACCTAGGTTTATCGCCGCATCGCCACCGTCGAAACGCGATTTGGCTTCGTGGTGGAGACAGTTCAAGAGAAATACCAGGAAAGAGGAGCCAAAAGGTACGTGTGTATGCGTGGGGAGGGGCATTACTTGAAGGGGGGAGGAGCCTGCAGGCCGAGGATGCGATGGGCGAGGATGCCTTACCTTGTCCAATTTCGAATCTGAGGGTCGCATTTGGTCTTGGCTCTCGACAATATCTCTCATGAAGATAGCTATCATACATGATGACTCGCTTTTTTTATTTTTAATATTTTTTTTTCCGGGTCGCCCGCCACCGTCTTCTGGAGCTCATCACTGACCTGCTGCAGAAAAACCGCAGGGTATCTTCGGCGTCCCCCTCAATGTCAGCATCAAATATGCCAACGTCGCTATTTCCCTGACGAACGACAATGGCGAAAGCTTTATCTACGGCTACGTCCCCATTGTAGTCGCGAAGTGCGGGGTCTTCCTCAAGGAAAAAGGTACCTACTCCGGGTGAGAACGTGTCGGTCAGTTGGCTGATCTGTGGGTTAGCGACGGATGTCGAAGGCATATTTCGACTCAACGGATCCGCCAAGCGCATCAAGGATCTGCAGGAGATCTTCGACTCTCCCGAGCGATATGGAAAGGGCTTGGATTGGACGGGCTATACCGTACACGATGCTGCTAACGTCCTCCGTCGGTATCTGAACCAACTCCCCGAGCCGATCGTTCCATTGGAATTCTACGAGCGCTTCCGTGAACCACTACGCATTTATCAGAAACAGGTCCAGGGTGGGGAGCCTACAAGCGAAGGCGAGAAGTTCGACCATGCGAAGGCGGTCGCCGCGTACCAGCAGCTGATCAGAGAGTTGCCCCCATTGAACAAGCAACTGCTCCTCTACATTCTCGATCTGTTGGCGGTCTTCGCTTCCAAGTCTGACCAGAATCGGATGACATCGGCCAACCTCTCTGCGATCTTTCAGCCCGGCCTGCTCTCTCACCCGCAGCATGATATGTCGCCGGAAGAATACAAGCTGAGCCAGGATGTGTTGATATTTTTGATCGAAAACCAGGATCACTTCCTGTTCGGCATGAACGGGACCGCTGCAGACGAGGCGACGGTGAAGGAAGTGGAAGGGGGTATGCTGCGCCCCACCTCCCATTCCACAGTGCGGCGCTCCGTCTCGAGTGCTAGTGGTGGTGCAGAGAGCTTCCGGAAATTTGGCAGTCTTCGCCGAAATGTTTCGGTGTCGTCCAAGAACTCTCGCAATTCGAACAATGCCAGCCCCGCAACCCCCACGTCCATGGGCGGCGCGGGAGTCCACCGAAGCAACACTCTACCCACCAAAATGTCGCCGGCCATTGCGCAAGCCAGATACGGCCGAGTGACTGAGGCTACTGGTGGGAATGCTCCGGGACGGACTTCGACCCAGCGCTCGCGGTCACCTAGCCGGGCACCGCCTGGCCCTGAGCAGAACCCCCAACCCGCGAAACCTCAGCCCGCACCCCAAGGAGCGGGAACTGCCACCACTGGTCTCGTGTATGTTCATACATCTACCCACGGTCCGATTCCGGTTTCCCAGGTCACTGCCACCCACTCGCCCATCGCAGAAAAGCCTTCTCAGGATACTTTGACGGTGCCCTCTTCGCCTCCGCGGGCCGCAGTGACGCCGACAAAGGAGCGGAAGTTATCCAGTTTCTTCAGCAAGTCGCCGCCTTCGGGCAGCGAGAAGGAGCCACGGCAACCCAACCGGCTCAAGAAGAAACGGATCCCAGGAAGCGCTAGTGCCAGTGCACAGAGTTCATCCCAGTCCCTACAAGCTGCCACGTCTGACTCGGGAATTGGCATTCCACCGTCCAGGGCGTCTGATCCTACCGATGCTGGCGGAGACACCCCGAAACCTCTGAACGCCCCTAATACAGAAGATAATGCCCCACAAGATGGGAAACCGGAGAAGCCAGCGGCTCCGAACGAGGCGGGACACCCATCCGATACGACGTTGAGGCCATATGGGTCACGCACTCCGTCGATGAACTCGCGGTCATCATTTACCGATCTTTCGGATGCTGATCCCACTGACGACACCTCTCGCGCAGACCGCAAAGAGCATCGGCGGAGCTGGAGGTTTCCTCGATCGTCAAAACGGAGTAATGAGCAAATCGGACTCGGGCTAGGATCCCCGCCGCTCTTGGCTTCGAACCCGGGCGCGGATCGCAGCACAAGCTCGTTTGGCAGCTGGCATCACTCGAGCAAAAGCTCGCCGTCCGATCTCCAGCAGTTCGCCAGCGAACACTCATTTCAGCCGCTCAGCCTAGATGCCGAAGTGAACAACAATGTTAAGGACTCGTCCGAGCCGGAGAAGCGCAGCCTGTTCGGCAAATTCAAGGCCAAGGTTGCGCAGGTTCGGGACGGAGTCATGGATACCGAAAGGGATCGGACAAGGAGTCCTCCCGTACATTCAGACGCAGAGAAATCTGCCTCCAGTCAGACACTCTCCCCCGCCCCGAAGGAGAGCCATCACACGCGACCTGCACCGCCGGCGCCAATTGATGTGACGAGAGACTTCAAGGAAATCCAGAGCACGCCAGTCTCCCCCCTTCCTGGGTCAGGTATGCCGCCGGCAATCCCGGAAGAACCACGCACCCCGGAAAGCCCAGTTGCACCCGTCGAGCTGGAGGTGAAAAAGGACAACGGCGTGGCGGAGACGGGGTCTGCGGCGACTCTTCCAACATTTGAATCCCACAAGGGAGACATTGAGACCTCTCAGTTCCTTGGGAACTAGGGTACCATCGTGTTAACAAAACGTGGCTTTAATCGGTTTCGAATCTTCACGCCGGGCCTGTGCCTGGTCATGTTTGGTATGTCTTGACCACGTGATTGCTACTGGAGCAGGGATATGACGGAGAATTTTGGGTGATGATTGATGGGTTGTTTCGTATTTCTTTTGTTTTTCATACCCCGTATTTCTTGGTGATGCTTGATGGGCCATGATTCATGTATGTATGTTGCTTCTTTGGCTTGGTGCCATGTTGAATAGGACGGTTAGCGTGAGCTCTGGATGGGATATATAGAGCTTGGATTTGAAGGGCAGGTAAAGAATAGATGCTTCGTATCTAGACTTGAATGTCATTATGACTTATTATCCAACATGGTCAATACAACAACCCGATAAAAACTTCTCATAATTGATTGGAATAAGAAAACCATCCGAAAACAGACACCTCAGGCACCCTTCACCTCGGCACCCACCAAAGACACCTGAGGCACTAAAGAACAACTCTCGATCCGCATCTCCGAGCCCATCCATCATCCACCAGTACATACTTCTCCTCAAACCACCCACAACGACAAACCCGCGAGGCAATCGGGCGCAAGCCCAACCAAAATCCAAAGAATCACACCAAAAATGTCCTCGACACCCCCCTCCCCCTCCCTACCTCAGGGTCCAGCAACCCCCAAATCCGCTCCCCCAATCCACATCCTACCAAACAACATCTCAAAAACCTACGCTCTCATCCACCCAGTCCTCCTGCTCGCACTGGTCGCTCTCCGCTTCAATGCTCTCATCACAGACCCCGTCGCTGAGCTGCTCAGCAATCTCCCCTTCCTAGCCCTGCTGCAGGTAACCTTCGTCATGACCTGTCTGCCACCCGCGGGGTCCGCAAAGGACGACGACGACAACAACAACAACAAATCCACCAGCGCCAATCCAACCTCGAACTCAACTTCCAACGCAGGCTCAGGTGTGATCCTTAAACCAGGCAAAATCGGTCTCCGGCGCAAGAATACTCCAAAGTCGGACTCGGGGAATCTTTCTGCTAAACTTCTTGTACGTATTTAATGCCGCTCCGCCCCAATACCTTACCCTCCTCCCCTATCCTGTTCATAAAGCCCCCCCCTTCTCCATCTCCATAAGTATATATACAAAAATATATTCTACACAGAACCCCACACAAAGCCCAACACACCAAGAAAACTAACAAAGCTAATAAAAAACCAATGTATCTAGCCAGCAATCCTCTCCCTAACCCTAACAACCCTCCTCGCAACCCCCGTGCTCACAATCCTCCTTATCCTCTTCGGTGCCCCGCTTACAACCCACCACGCTGAGACGCTCCTCTGCGCTGCACACATGGCCGTATTGACATCCACGGCGCTCATCTACGTTCACGGCGTCGACGGTTCCATCTGGAAGGAGGTCTGGGGTGCCAAGCGACCCGCCGATGCGGTTTGGGGTGCTGCGCTGGGAACGTGTGTCGGGGCTTGGTTTGGTGCTGTGCCTATTCCTTTGGATTGGTATGTTCTCCTCTTTTCCCTTTTCCCTTTTTTTTTTAACGGTGTCGGAGTTAGGGTGAATGTGCTAATTTGTTACGTTTGTAGGGATCGGCCGTGGCAGGCGTTTCCGATTACGATTGTTATCGGGGCTTATATTGGGTATAGTGTTGGGTTTGGATTGGGGAGGACTGTTTTGTTTGGGAAGAGGTTGAAGATTGAGGAGGAGGGTGATGTTGTGGATTCCAAGAAGGTAGATTGATTTTTTCTTTTTTTTTTAATATTCTTATATATTATTGGTCTGGGATTGATGGGTATGGGTGGTTTAAACTGGGTTTAGATATTCATTCGGTTGGTGGGGAAGTATGTAGTAGTTTGTATTTTAGATTTATAATTATTTAAGAGACAGTATTAATATCGTATTAGTATTTATTACTTTGGTTTTCTTGGGGAGAGAGAAGTGAGTTTATTTTATGATTGCATGTTGTATTGCATGAGGTTGCATGATGCTTCAACTAGTTGGAATTTATATATATATTCAAATCTATGAGCAACCGGTGCTATCTAATATCCAAGGATGATAACATTGCTGAGAACAGTCTAGCAGAATGACCAATCATTACATAGTCGTGAGCTGGAAACATAAGAAGCAGAAGCGTAGTGGAGGGAATGGCCAATAGCCAACTGCAAGGATTAAATCGCAAGGAAGACAGCTTCCATGCTGGTAGGAAATGGTTATAATAAAAACCGAGGTTAAGCGCCGGTCACAAGCCCGCGGCTCGGTCAGATCATATTGCCAATTTCTACTCCGCGGTTTGGCGGCCATCTCGGCCGAAATAGGTCCTCCTTTGGCGTGTCCGACCGATCGTAATCCGAATCACTCTCGTACGGTGAACCGAGTTTCTCTTCCGGACGGACGGAGGTAGTCTGTGAACTCCCCATCGTATTGGAGTCTGGACGCAGGAACTCCTGCGAGTCTGCGCTCGGGATTGGGTACATTGTTTTGAGCCCCATGGAATTCCTGGCCAGCTGTTGCAGCTGCTGGATATCCGAGCGGAGGCCGGAGACCTCGTGTTCGAGGCTGCGGCGGGCGTTTTGTTCTCGCCGCAGGAGCATGACCAACGCGCTGTACTGTTCGACGGAGATGCCGGCATTATGGTCACTGAGGGAGCTTAAAGAGGGGCTTTGTAAGGTTTTGGAACGATGAAGGTGCTGTGTGCCGGGGCGGATGGTAGCGGTGCTCAACGGCCGATCTCCCGCCGCTCCGACACTGGATGTAGCTTCACCCCCGGATGGTGAGGATTGAGTCGTAGACTTTTTGCGCTTGTGCTCAGTCGAATTCTGTGATTGTTTCCTTCCCGACGTCGCCGTGGGAGAAGGTTCACTGCGTTCGGTCTGCATGCGAGCGATAGCAAATTCGAGGTCAATCAGCTTCACCTCCAAGGTGGTCAATCGCTGCTCCAATGAGATACTCTCATCGTGCTGCATGGCGCTGACCAATGTACCCACGTTTGGGGGTATGCTCTCCTCGCCCACAGGGTCTTCTAAGGGGTCCACTCCATCCACTGACGGCTCAACAGCCGTCTGAGGAGCACTGACTGCAGTGCCCCGTGTCGCAGGTCGGAGGGACACCAAATCCGTGTCGGAAGCTGCGCCACAAGCGGTTGACGTGACGTATGACTCGATACTCCGTCGCCTCCATTGAATCGGAGACATCCGGTGGTTTTTGGCCAACCCCCGCAGAGCGGTTGCGCTCCGTGAGCGTCGTTTGCTGCGTAGGAGCTCGCGCCGTCGCTCATCATGATCACCAAGGCGGGGGCTTTTACTTCGACTGCCCGCGGGGTCGGAATGGATTAAGGCGTCGAGGGCGTCGCGAGACTCGTCGTCGTCCGAAAAGATCAAGCTCGGCAACGTGGCTCGGCGGGTTCGGGTTGGCCTCATTTCGAGCTTGAGCAATGTATCTTCAAAAGCTTTCGGGTCCTTCAGGTCGTCCCGGGTCGGGTTGCTGTATTTCGATTTCAATGAATTCGAGAGCGCGGCGTAATTCGTGGTATCCTTCTCCGGCCGCGATTCGCCAGGATGGTTGAGTCGAAAGTCCGGAACAGCCTCCTCGCAGCCGTCTGCCTGGCCCCGTGCTTTGCGGGTGAATATTCTTCTCATGACGGTTTTCAAGGTGCTTCCGGTCCGGCGATGGGCGTTGGGTCCCCGGTTCATGCTCGACATGTCTGGGGCGAAACCGAGGGCGGCCGCAGCTTTTTGGTTCCCACGAAAGCTCCCTACCACAATGGACGGATCGGAGCCGCGGTACGATCGAGAGTTGACAATCAACTGTTTGGACGTGATGGGTGGCAGGGCTGTATCGTAACAAATGTCGGACCCGGAGTCCGATGATAGATCACGAGGCGCTAGACAACTTCGCAGGGAGTCACTTCCAATACTGAGACTAGGGCGGGACATGCTGAAGGAATTTTGATGACAGTGTATTATCCGGGAGAGGCGATCGCAAGAATATAAGGTGATGATGGGTTCATAGAATGCGTGGATGCAGCGGTGTACCACTAGGTAGACAGTAGATTATCGGACAGAGGTAGCGACAGTCAAAATAGAATAGCAAGGCTTCAATGCAAGGTCGACGTATGGGTATCTCAAAATTTCGACGATATCAGGTACGGCTATGGACACGGGGAGTCAGCGTAATGGAGTGCAAGCAAACTACGAAGCGCTAACCTTCACAGGAGATAAAATCATCATCTATAGGTTGCCGAACCTGACCAAAGGATCCCGCGAACGTCAGCCGTGGTCCACCGGTAGAACCAACTATAGAAACTTACCAACAAAGAGAAACCCGAAAGGGAACAACAACTAGGTTGGTAGCACGGTGGTATGGCGTTCGCATCCAACAACCCGGCATTTCTCTCCAGAGGAAACTAACAATCAGAGCCGGAGAGAGCAAGGCGCAGAGTCAAGACTAAGTTCACAAACGAGGACCAGGGTCGTCTTAGGGGGCAGAGGAAATAAACTTCACCACGCGGAGGATTTACCGCCACAATGGGGGACGAGACGGGGAAGGGGAGAATCACTGAAGCTTATCAAACAGGGGACGGCATGGAGGGAACGATAGTGGGCTCTGATGCATTGCGTTTGGCCAAGAGAAGGGAGAGAATGAGGGGAGGAAGGAGTAGGAATGGGAAAGAGAGAGTGTGTGTGTGTGGAAGGAGAAGAAAAGGAAAATTAGAGTAATGGAATAATAATAATAAAAAATAATAATAATAATAATAATAGTATGATGGTAGAAGTAGGTTAGTAGTTGTATAGTTGCCTTAAAAGAGGTTCAAACTCAACACCGTCCGGCTAACAGGGAAGACTAATGGATTCCTGCAGACTCGAAAAAGGAATCGACGGGAATGAAGGAGAGGGGGAAAATCGAGAGAAAAATAATAATAATAATAATAATAATAATAATAATAATAATAATAAGACAATAAAATAAAAAAAAAAGAAAACGAAATGTGACCGGATTAGGTCTAGGAGAATAAACGCATCGAGGAAACCTAAGATTGACTAGAACGAAGAAAGAGAAAAAGAGAAAGAGAAAGAGAGAGCATCATGGATCCCAATTGCTCCGAGATGGACGGCATTACAGTGGAGAGTCCACTTGGCGTGCCGTCGACAAAAACGATGCACGGACTCGCTCTTGTTTCAGGAGTTCCAGAATTTTCAGGGGTAAAAATTTAGATTAAAAAAAGAAGAAAAAATAGAAAAATTTAAATAAATTAATTTAACAGAATTTCAAATTATTCAGACGGAGTAAATGCTTGCCGGATGTCCGTATATATGATATAATCAATCTATCTTAGTTCATTGTCTCGCGAGTTAATCTTGTCAATCTTGTCTATCTTGTATATCTTTGAATGTACATCTGTAGATGACCATATATTGACTCGTATTTATAGTTTTTTTTTTTTTTTTTAATAGAATGTAGGAATGGTTGATCTCTATATACCCATGGATCGGCTTCTCCGGAGTGACAGATCATTTTATTTTATTTTATTTTTATTTTTCCACTTGCTGCCTTGCTGCACCGAAACTTCCATAGATTGAGCACATCCATTCTTCGCGTCCAATTGACTTTGCTTGTCGCATTGATCAGGCGCTATTCCAGACTTATTGTTGATGGCATACATGAAGTAACATTCCACATGGCGCCACATGGGCAAAAACACGAGCCTAAGGCAGAGGGTCATGTGCAAGCACATCGCCAAAAACCTTGACATTCAGATGATTTGCATAGTCCCATCGATAGTATACTTCTCCGTACTCTCCGTGCATACATACTCATCATATTTTCTCCCTACGGAATACACATTCAACAACCATTCTCTGAGACATCCAGTCTTCGATTCTCTTCTCCCATCTTCGATTTATTTATTCTTCTCAAACCCAATCCCTCCCCCTCGGCCCTCCAAACGAAGGATCCTCGAATACAGTTTGGCCCCATTCCAACACGATCCCAGTCCTAAACTTAGGTGCGGTTGCCGAGCATCAACCATGGAACGCTTGTCAGGAACTCTCCTCCAGTGTACATCATTCGCTCTCGACCGACAAGCAAAAGCAACCAACTTTTTGCTATCGTCCCCACTCATTCAAAGCCTCCCAGCACGGACACGATTCCACGGTACACCAGTAAATAGTTCGGTTAGTCTAGCTTGATACGGCCAATGCAATGATGCATCGATTCCCTCTCCCGGAAGGACCCCAGCACGAGATCAAACCATTCCGCCGTGATAAGTTGACCAAGTCTTTCGGAGGTCGGAAGAGTTTGCTTCACCGCTATTCCAACTGGTTTTCTACTTTTTCTTCCCAACACGGGCGCCAACAAACACAGCGCATATTCCCCGAAGCAAGGATGAAAGTCGTCCAAGGAACGATGTCCGTGACGAACCTCTGGGTCTGCAATCTATCTGCTCCGGTTTAATCTATACGCAACGACGGGTATCGCGTCTCGGTCAGGGCATCCGAACACTCCCCACTAACGATCTGATACCGACCGTTTGTGACATAGAGGGGACAATGTACACAGGATCCTCCACTTTTTCACGGTTGGAAAAAATGGGAGGCCTAAAACAGGCTCCTTCCCCTCATAGTGAGTCTGAAACGCGAAACGGACCAATTGGAGAGGCAGCACAGTCGTGCCATCCAGACCGGTCAACAAAGGGGGGAGAGAGCCGAGTTCAGCCTGCATATGATGTCAGTTGCACGGTTCTGTTCTCAATGATACTACTCACATTCCTCCCCCAAAAAAGTACGTCGTCCAGATTACAGATCACTTTGTTCTTGAAATAGCACACAACAGTCAGAGATCAAGAATCGCCGCCTTGTGTCACCTTGCTTCACCTTTCATGTTTACTTTTTCTGTCCAACATTCCCAAACATGTGCGTTTCACCAGAGAGCAACATCCGGCAACAGAATCCCCGGAACAAAAATGATGAAAACAGAGAAAATACTTCGCAGACGTCAGAATGCACGAAACGAGCCTTGCAGTGACAGTCTTATGCAATGATGCGCTGGACATGCATGGTAAGAGTGGAACCCGCCAAAAGCTGAGACGCACCAAGTGGTCCCCCTTACAGCTATGCTCCACAGTCCATCCAGGACACGATTCCTGAGGCCTCGTCCAGGACGTCGCTCGTCTCGTTCGCTCTTCGAGAATGCGATCGGGTAGACCTGCATAATCCTGGGAAAATCGATGGGATCTGATTGGACGCCCTGTCCGATCTGAGAATGTTGGAAAATGTCGTATTACCCTGTCGTTGTACAGGACCAAGCATGCATATATACTCCGCTGAGACTTACGTTGACACTGCGCAATATCTATCATGTACAACACAACTCCGAACCTCGACCTCAATTCGACATCCACCACACCCACACCCCATACTCCATACCCCCCCCTCCCCTTAGCTACAACAGCTCAGAAAGAATGATCATACCCTAAACCAGCTACATCCCCGAACCCAAGCAACCCCAGACACCATCAGTAACCCACCTGAAACGCCCACCAACCTTCTATTTATATGCTCCCCAGCTACATCCAAACAAACACTAGAACCCCCCCCC